TCGACGAGGGAGAGCCGGTGGTGAAGTTTGAGATTGGAATGGACTGGAGGGGCTTAGGACCCTTTGTGATCGTGGAACCCTGAGCCTGGGTGAGGGAGGGTTCGGGCGGGGCAGCAACTCGCTCGGCAGACCGCGGCGGAATGATGTGTTTGGACTCCCTCTTGGGGTGGTGGTGGTGGTGATGGTGATGGTGCTTGGGAGAGTCCTGCGACGAGACAGGCGTCGCGGACTTGGATGACGAGGGGTTGTTTCCCATTTTGTGTCGTTGCCTCTTCGTCCAGATTCGCTCCTGGGGTGGGACACGACAGCCTGGTCTCGCTGCGTGTGTATGGTCTGGGGGGACAGGTGGTTCCGGGACCTGGCCAGTCCAAGTCTAGATCGTTATTCCGTTTTTTGGCTCCTCAGGTAAGCAACGGCGACGTCCGGCGGGCACGACAGGCGGTGCGGGTGCGTGTTGGGGGTCGGCAGTGGTGCAGGGAAAGGCGCACGAGGGCAGCGCTACCCAGATGAATGAGCACAATGCAGCGATTCAGTGATAGGTAGTCACGATCCGGGGTCGGGTGTCGAGACCCAATATCCCCACGTCAGGCAAAGGAAGGTACCTAGCTGCGACTGGCCTTCGTGCGAGCCTAGTTAGGTAAGGCGTAATTACACGACGATAGCTGGCGCGGGGTTTGCGAGTTTATTGTCGCATTCTCAGCGAGATTATACAGGGCTGTGCTGTATAATCAAAATTGGTTTCCGGCGCGATTGGGTTTTACGCAGGAAGAAGGGCAGCCAAGCAGGAAGTCGCTACCGATGGGGTGACGATGCGTCTTTTGAGTAAAGTGACGTGGTGCGAGAGTGCAAGACTCGCTTTTTGGAGATTGGATGAGAGGTCGGCTTAGTTCAACGACGGGCTCGAGGTTGAGGTTGAGAGAGAGAGAGAGAGAGAGAGAGAGAGAGAGAGAGAGAGTGAGAGAGAGAGGGGAGTGTGTAGAGGGGTGTGTGGTGTGGTCAGGTCGCCTGTTCTGACGCCAGCGTTTGGTGTTCGGCCCAGATAGAATGTGGCCGAAGTCAGATAAGCTGTGCCTGAAAGGTACTCGGTAACCTTTATTGCGGACTGCGGGGGAAACGAGTATCATTGGGCCACCGCTTGGCCGATCAGTGGGCGACGCGTTACCTACAGGCTACATACATCGTAGAGGTAGGGCCACTTGCATCCGTGATTCATCCTATCTGAGGTAGCTCCTGGTAGCTTGTCAAATGAACTGAGATGAATAAAAAGCGAGCCATTCATGTATTGACGTTTCTTCCGCCGTACTATAAGTTCGATATGTGATATCCATGATTATGAAATATGGTAATTACCACGAGAAAAGATGAGTGCCAGCCTTGGCCGGCGCCTTCAAGCTGGTCAGTGCACGTAGATTTGATGCTCCTAGGCCCCGTCCGATATTACCTACCTAGCGAGATCGAAGCTGGCCCTGCCTCGTAAGCTCCCTCCCCCTCCCTCCCAATTTCCTACTCTACTCTACCTTTACCAGCTGAAGCCAGCTAATAACCTTGGCTCGCGTGAGCACTCGTGTCACTACAGCGACAAACGCCCCTCGGATTTCTGACCTGGAATGCTGCAAACGCACCATAGCCACTGCACTTCTCACAAACCACCAACTCCTCGACTTGACCATATCCCTAATTCAGAACGGCCTTCTCCGTCGACCGACGTCGTTCTTGACAACTGCAAGCTCGCTTACTCTCTTGACATGCTCTGAAGAAGTAAGGACAGGACCATTTCATCTCCAGGTGCAGCTTACAGCGAGCTACCCCTGTTGCATATCTAAACCTCATTCTCACTCACAACCGACCTCACGACACGGCATGGCGTCGCTGTCGTATGCCTCGGGCGTTTTCGCCATCGCTACATGGCCCGCGAGGATCGTATGGAAGCCCGTGGCCTTTTTCGTCAACGTGATTCTCGTCTTGTTTTCGCCCATCGTACTCATGGCGTCCTATGTCATCGGCTGGGGCCAGGCTTTGCTCGATTTCATAGCTAGCCTCGAGGTAAGTCATCCATCCCTTGCAACGCACTTCATCTACAGCAGCGCTAACACACTCACAGCCCCTTTACACTTTTGTAGGTTTCCTTGCCCTTCTTAATAGCCGGGCAGTTGATTTGCTCACACCCTCATCAGCTGGCGTGCGGCGCCTGTATCGGTATCGTGGCTGGTCTGACCTTGTCATGTACGTCTGGTATAATAACCACAGTCTTCGGCATGCATGAGGACAGGTCGAAGTCACTGCCTCCGACGCCAATGCCTTTGACGCCTTTGTCGGAACGGCCAGGAACAGGTAAGACCGAAGACTCCTCGTCCTACGAAACAGACTGGCACATCCTCAACAAGCCGCCCCCGAAGAGGCGGAGACGGACGCCGGGACTCTGGTCGCAGACAATTCACGAGGAGGACGATGACGATTCTGAGATCTGATCATATGATTTGGGGTTTCTTTACGCATACCGTACGCAGCAGAGAGGGTGGCTATCATTACCTGGGAATCACTTTCAAAATGCCAGCCCTGCGCAGGAATATGCCTCCTGCCCTCCCAAACGCCTGTTCCTGTGCTTCGCCGAGCTACTCGCCCTGTCCACCGATATTATAGTCTCTTGTGATGTTGGCCGCAACTTCACCTGCGGTACATGTCCCGGTCCCGCTCGCGCTCCCTTATCGGCGAGCGGCTACGGCTTCTCGTCCGGCGGTCCCAATCCCGGTCGTGCCACCTTTCATCCCTGCTATTGCGACGACGGTCGCGCGGCGGCCGGTCATCCCGGTGTCGAGACGCATCGTCCCTATAACTCGGGATATACGTATCTACGTCGGGTGCCCTTCCACCCCGACTCCTAGGTCGTCTGTCTCGATCTCTGTCCCGGAAAGCATCGCGTTCCATAGGTCCGCCGTTGACGTACTCGGGCGGGGGTGGCCTTGGCGGCAAGCCTCTATCTCGTTGCCAGGCTGGTCTGCGCTCGTCCCCGTTGCGGGGGGCTCCAGGCAGGTTGGGGTTACGGTTACCGTTCACGCCGTTGCGGCTGTTGTAGGCGTCGGCATTGTTGAACCCGGCATTCGCACCGTGTGCTTCAGGACCCATGCCCACCGTGCCCCCTTTTGGCGCAGGTGGCAGCTTCGCCTGGCGGTCGTGGAATTTCCGCCTATCCAGTTCGTGGCTGTCTTCGAACGTTGGGAGGTCGCCTGGGTCAGCTGGCATGGGAGCCATCTTGAAGTACGGATGATTGAGGGCGTCACCGGCGTTGATACGAGTTCTCCAGTCAAGTTTAAGGAGCTCCTTTAGCAAAGAAACGGCACCAGTCCCATACTCTCTGAATCTGTTGGACAAGCTGCCGGGTCGAGAACGCGGCGTAAGGACCTCGGCACCAGGGAGCGTGTTGAACAAGGGCATGGTTTCAGGTGTGGGTGATCCCATCAGATCCCAAATGATTTCGAGTTGGTGAGTGTCACTCTCGCCTGCCAAAATCGGTTTTCCAACAAGCATCTCACCAAAGACGCAGCTATTGAATGGGTCAGTATTTCGTGGCAAGATACAGATGCACAGGCGCAAAACTTACCCAACACCCCAGACGTCAATAGCGGTCGTGTATCTCTTCAAATGAAGCAACAGCTCGGGGGGTCGGTACCATCTAGTGACGACCAGGCCGGTATATTCTCTTTTCCCCTCGCCTGCGCCATGGCCTGGCTTTGGCGTCGGTCCTTCGTAGTGTCTTGCGAGACCAAAGTCGGCGATCTGGAGGATACCCTTGTTGTTGATCAAGAGGTTGGCGGCCTTCATATCTCGGTGCAAAATACGGTTGTCGTGCAAGTACCGCAGCCCTTCGAGAAGTTGCAGCATGTAGCATTTGATTTGAGGCTCGGTGAAGTGAACAGAGGGGTTGTCAAGCAGACCTGATAGGTCGTGATCCATGTACGGGGTTGCCATGTACATGATGGGCCTTTTGCGCTTGTCGCCTGTGACAACCCGGGTCAGGAATTGCTGCTGGCGAGATGGGTAGTTGAGCATGAGCGACTTACTGGCTCTTTGGGGGTGCTCCACGGCCATGTCAATGAGCTGCAGGACGTTTTTGTGGGAGAGCAGCTTCAGAAGTTTGATTTCGCGCAGTGCCGTGATGGGGAACTATCGCCCGTCAGTTGATGGCCCGCGGGTGTTCGGGATTGGTATCACACGTACGCCATCCTTTTCGTGATGCATAATGATTTTCTTGAGAGCTACATGGGCGTTCGTCTTGCGAGATCGCGCGCGATGGACTTCACTGCAGGTTATCGGTCAGTATGATGATGACCAGGAACGCGGTAGCTGCAAGCGGACTTACCCAAAAGTACCCTCGCCCAACTTCCCGAGGAGCTCGTAGTCGGTGATGCGCGAGCATCCCTGGAAACTCGTTTTGGGGCGCTGATGCTGTATCGCAAATGTCCGAGGCGAGACGCCGCCGTTGTGTGCGCTAGAATCCATGATGGCTGCGAAGCGCGGCGAGACGCGCCTGTCGCGATGGAACTTGGCTGGGTCGATCGAAGCTTCTGGCGGAGGTGTGGGACTAACAGCGAAGGCCGGCTAAAAGGATTGCATTGCTATTGAATCACCAACGTGTAATATAGCGATCGGTCGTAGATGGGTGCTGTAGCTGTTGCTGTGGTGCAAAATAAGCAGGATGCTTACTGTATTTGGTGTTTGGAATTAGCTTGTATTAGGTAGGTTGTTGAAGACGGGTTGGTGTCTGGGCGGTGTCTGTGGCAGAATCCTAATAAAGTCCAGATTGGAGATGTGATGCCATGGTTAGAATCAAAAAATCGCGGAAAATCCCTGGTCCTACGCTGTGGGTCCTTCCGCTGAGACGGAGACTCCTGGAGCGTCTTTACCGATGTAGGTAGGGTACGTATCCTCCCCCAAGTGCCAGTAACAGGTTCGGTTTAAAACTAGCCGCACGTGCGTACGTCATCGTCTGAAGGTCGACTTCTGCAAGCAACTCAAATCCATTGCATGGAGAGACTGATTTAACTTGCCTTCGAGCAGCCGCCAGAGTTTTGCCCCAACCGGTGACTAGACAGCAAGCCTTGCACAGCGGGGCCATTGGCTCTGGTTATGGGGACATACTTGGTCCATCCACCGCATCCTCCGGCTTATGGTCAGCAATTTCTCCTTCATCGGTGTCTAGACCGGTCATGCCCGGCTTCTGGAGACGGTCACGCTGCGGTCGTGGTCGTCCTGTTACTTAATCATTACCCCTCCAAAACTCTGCCCGCCATCCGCTATCGGCTTTTGTCCCATCTTCTCTACCCCACGATACTAGAGCTGTCACCGGCTTCCATACCCTTTCCATCTTATCACACGATAAGGCGTTCCCTTAAAAGTGCGAGGGGCATCGTTGGTATCTGCCCACATTCTCATGTCTTTCCTTATCTGGGTCCTTGGGTCAAACGCAGGACAGCACGCATGAACCTAATATCAGCTCTGGTAAGGTTCAATCAGACTGTCGCCGTATGTCGGACTCTTCCAAGTGCCTTTTCACTTGCTTTGTCGCAAAATGACTTGTTGACTCGCCATCCGTCTCCACCCGCGTGCTTTCGCCATCCATCGCTAATCGCTGTCCATTGCAACTTCTCGTAGTTCGTTTCCATTAGACAAAATTTACAAAATTTTGCGCAATCCGTGACACTAGCCAACTGTTGTCGCCTTGCTCTCCATACAAAAACCTCCTGCCCCTCCATTTTACCCCGTGCCCTTCAACTCATCTGTGGAGGCTCTTGTATCCGATAACCCTCAACCCCCGACTTCAACTTTCACCCTTTCTCTGGCTTTCTGTTACCCCCCCCCCCCCCCCCCCCCCGACGAAACTCACCATTGCCTTCGCACAATCGACACGCGCAATGGCTTTCGAACCTACCGCTGCGAGGCTCCTGCCGGCGTCCAATTACCCAGAATCCCGAGTCCTCATCATCATGACGGGCGGAACTATATGCATGCAGCCTACCGCTGACGGACTCCAGCCTATTGGAGGTTTCTTAAATAATGCCATGGCTCCGCGCCCCTCGTTCAATGACAAGTCGTCGCCTTCAGGTATGTTGTTCTTGAGGGTACGACACACAGAAGGAGATGAGGAAGGCCGTGACAAAGACGAGGACCAGGGTTTCCATCAAGCCAAGGATTCGTGTGCTTCGAACCCAAGAGTTTCTTTTGTACTTGAGAGACATCTAACAGCCTTCATGCAACTCAATTGGCCAAGTTTTCACCACCACGCAATGTTGGGATTTGCTAACAAACTACAGTCCAGCTTGACGCCGTCAAAGACGGTCAAAAAGTTATGCTTGACAGTTTGAGAACACCGCCAAGCGCCTACTCCCGCCATATTCGCTACGGCGTGCTGGAGTTCAACCCTCTGCTGGATTCCAGCTCCATCTCGGCGGAGGGCTGGACCGAGATCGCCCAGACCATCCGGGAGAACTATCGCCTCTTCGACGGGTTTGTTGTTTTGCACGGCACCGACTCTCTGTCGTACACGGCTTCGGCTCTTTCTTTCATGCTTTCTGACCTAGGCAAGCCTGTCATCCTCACAGGCTCACAGGCCTCTATCTTCGCCCTCCAGTCGGACGCCGTCGACAATCTCCTGGGCTCGCTCATTATCGCAGGAACCTTTGTTATCCCCGAGGTCGGCCTATTCTTCCACCATAAGCTGTTCCGCGGCAACAGAACCAGCAAGGTTTCGTCCGCTGCTTTCGAGGCCTTTGCCAGCCCCAACTGCGAGCCCCTGGCCAAGGTCAACGGGCTGGGTATTGATGTTAACTGGCCCATCGTGCTGAGACCCACCAGGATCGCCGAGCTTCAGGTCACCAACCACCTCGACACCGCCCACGTCGCATGTCTTAGAGTCTTTCCCGGTATCCGACCAGAGATGCTTGATTCGGTTCTGCGTGTCCCCGACCTGCGCGGTCTTATTCTTGAGACTTTCGGCATGGGCAACGCTCCCAGCGGTATCGATGGCAGCTTGACCAAGGTCATTAAGGCGGCTGTCGACCGCGGCGTCATCGTCGTCAACGTCAGCCAGTGCATGAGCGGTTTCGTGTCCCCCGTCTACGGCCCCGGAACCGAACTCGGCCGCGCCGGCGTCATCTTCGGCCTCGACCTCACTGCCGAAGCGGCCCTGACCAAGCTGTCGTACCTACTCGCCATTCCGAACCTCTCGACCGCCGAGGTCAGCGCGCGGATGTCGCAGTCGCTGCGCGGCGAAATGACCGAAATGGCACTCCCGGTATTTTCGCACCCATCTGGCTCACTCGACTCGGTCGTATCCCGGCTAACGGCCTCAGAATCGGCATTTACCGTCCTCGGCTACGCCATACGGGATGGCGATGTCCGGGCGGTGAGGGACATCCTGGACAACGACGGCCAGCGCGAGCTCTTGAAGATGGCTGACTACGCCGGAAACACGGCCGTCCACCTGGCCGCCGTCGGACCCAACCTCGAGATTTTGCGGGAGCTGTTGACCAGGGGAGCCAGCGTGCACGCGCGGAACCGCGCCAACAACACGCCGCTCTACCTCGCGGAAAAGACAGGCAAGGAGGAGTGCGTACGGCTGCTCAAGGAAACGGGAGCACACTTGTGGCAGGAAGAGGAGGTTATTCTAGGCTCTGTTCAAGCGTCTGCATCTGCATCTGGAGGAGTTCAAAAGTAGGAGACTGGAAGAGGTGTCATTTGGTCATTATTGTGCGGGCGTTTCTTAGGGTCCATGTTTAGGGGTTAGGTTTCCAGCGACAACAAAGAAAGACAACACGATGCATTGGTCTTGTTGAAGTCCAGGGTCTCTTGTGAACTGTCTTTAGCTTGCTTCCTTATCCCAGTTCACTTCAGGGACCCGACCTTTCGGCTCTGGTGAAAAGGAGGGAGTTTGAAGCATAAACAGTCTAGGGTGGGACTTGAAATTTGGCTTCAACGACTGAAAGTTCAAAGTTTCGTGCACTAATGACTCTACATAATGCCATGTGCCGCTCGTTGTTATTGTGCAGCTTGTTTTTGGAGATATTTGCTGCCTTCTCGCAGTCTTTGTTGAACAGACCAAGATGAGGGAACCGCTGTTTCTGAACCTTTTCGTAGGCATTCCTCACAAGGACTCTTGTTGCATGGTCATATTGCTTCCGTCCCGAATTCCCGTTTCTGGTCGCTAGTGTGTGTGTGTGTGTCAAGAGTGCTAATATGCGCCAAGCAAGGAGGTTCATAGTGCAAGTGTTGCGCGAGGTACCGGCTCGGCCCCACATTCGATCGGCGCCGTAGCTCGACTCAAAATTTTGGTAGATTTCCCATTTGCACCTGCAATCGGATGCTTCACCAATCGTCATTGACTCGACACCTCACCCTCCTCGACACCACCCACCCCCCCAAGCTCGGGACCGCTTCGACGACCGTCAGAAATTCGGGATCGCGGGAATACCGAACGTCAATCACCTCGACGAACATCTCCTTCGCCCTCTCCCAACCTTCCCAGACTCCTCCCCCCGATCCGATCGAATATCGCAACTCCCGCAAGACCACCAAATAAATTAAGAAAAAATGACCGAATCAACACAACAACCCGCGGGATCCTCCCCGGCCCTTCCGCAGACCCCTCCCCTCATCCACAACGCCGCCATCGCGGCCTCGGTACTCTGCCCGCTCATCATGTTGATGCCTCCGCGGCGGCGCGACTGGCGCTTCTACATGCTTGCGACGGGCTTCACGGCCTCGGTGAACCAGCTCATCTACGACTGGACGGGCCAGTCCGTCTACCAGGGCGTGCAGTCGCGCTTCGCGCGCATGTTCCCCACGGCACTGCCCGAGCAGGCCCAGCGCACCAAGCAGCTCCTCCGCGAGGAGCGCATGCGCCGCGAGGGGCTGACGGAGGAGCAGATGCGCGCCATCGAGTACAAGAAGCGCAACCTCGCGCAGCGGGTGTGGTACGGCGACGAGCCCGAGGACTGGGACGCCAAGAGGGGCGCCGAGCACGCCAAGGCGCTGGCAGAGGGCAAGGGGTTTGGCGACCTGATCGTTAAGCAGGTCGCCGAGGTCTGGGGCAGCGCGAAGAAGGACGAGGAGAAGAGGGAGGGCGGAGACGATAATGAGAAGAAGGAGTGAGGGGCTGGGGGGAACCGAGTGCCGCAGGGCGACGTCGTGTAGGATTATCAAAACAGGAGATCAAAGCCTGGCTGTCACTAGCGCCTGTGGCGGTTGGAACGCAGTCATACTTGGCGAAAGAGAGGCCGAGAGGTACGTCTGGTTCGTTGGCCATCTCCCCTAGGCATTGTACATTACTGTTTAATCGAGCATTGTGAACACACAAACCAACCAGCATTCGACAATTTGGACGGAATTGAACGACGTATGTATTCTTTCGCCACGAGATGCGAAGTGCTTCTGCTCGATATGTACTTTTTGAGTGTTTCATCCCCCCATCTTTACATTACCCGCTAGACGCCAACATGAAGTATTTTATCTTTCACTTTATACTTTCCACCCTACTCCACGCCCTCGTGCCTATTACTCCTCAGAACGCCTGATTCCTTCCGGTGGTCGGCGGGCCGTCGAGCCGCAGTTCGGCCAGCTTCGCCCCTAGCTGCCTTCCTGCCGGGCTCTCAGGGCCTCTTTTAGTTTCTGCTTTTTTATCTGCTTCTGCTTCTCGTAATTGTTGGTGCTGTGTCCTTTGAGAAGCTTACCCTTTGCATTGGACCGAGCCGATTCTTTCTTGGCCGCCTTCTTGGCCGCGCGCGCCTCGGCCCTCTCGTCGAATTGTGTCGTCCACGCCGACAGGAGGGCGTCCACCTCGGCCTGGCGGTCGTCCGAGTCGACCGCGATGCCGAGTTCCTTCTTGATAGCCAGCCGCCGGTTCTCAATCTGCATCAACCGCCGCCGCGCGGCGCGGTTGAGGCCCTTGTGTTGCGAGTCGGCCCCGCTGACCGAGCTGGGTGCGTTCGATGTGGTGTAGCCCGTCACGGATGTGCTTTTGGCCTCGAACTTGGTGGGTTTTACGTCGATCACGAAGGGACACGGCTCGGTGTCGGTCGCGGGTGCCACGGCCGAGGAGATGGACTCGCTGGGAGTATCTGTCTCTGCCGCTGAAGCCTCTGGGACATTTTCTTCAGCCTTCTCGTCCGTCTCCTCGGCATTGACCGCCTTCTTGGGGGCCTTCTTCTCCGTCTTCTTTCTTCTTGACTTTTTTTCCTGGCTGGTCTTTGTGGGTGACGCAGGTTCGGATTCGGGGTTCGGTGTGCTAGCAAGCGAGGAGATCTGTGAGCTCCCTTGCGCTGCGAGTTCCTCACGTCTCTGTTTCCTACGCGCAGCGCGTTCGGCTCGTGCAGCGGCCGCTGCCTGTCTCTTCTCGGCCGGGGTCGGGGGAACGTCTATATCCATGGCGTCGGTTGACTTCACAACATTAGCCTGCTTCTGGTGGGGTTAGAAAGGCGGGCAGTTGAGAGACTCGGGGAGTCAGGCGAACCGTAGGTGCATTGAGCTTGGCGCCACCATCCTCCATGTCGGAGCCGGATTCGGCTTCGTAAGTCTTCCTGCCCATCATTCCAAAGACGTGTGTGAGCTGCGTCGTCTGTGGACAATTTCGTCATGCGATGGAGAAAGAAATTCTGTCATCCGACCGTTGGCTAGGTACCTAATTAAAGCTTCCCCAAGCGAGGAACAAAAAAAAAAAAGTCCAGTCTTCTACCAGGGGTCCTTTTTTTTTTATTAATCTTATCTCCACGTGACACAAATCCCGTTATAAACGGCCGACACGCTCGCGGAGCGGTGGTATGGCTCATCGGCGCACGGACGATAGACTCCTACCAAGCACAAACCTCCGGCTTCTTCGGTATGTCACGGCGGGTAATACCTACCGGTAGTATCTCGTGTGGTGGTGGTGACACGCCCCACTACCAGCAGCTTGTGAGTGGCTGGCTGGCTGCCGAGCCACCAGTTGTCGTCAGTGCCCCAGGCCTGCCCGCACCCATCCGTGAGCTGACTGCCTGGGTGGTAGCCAGTTTTAGGTCTCGCTCTTGATTTGTAGTGTACCATCCATCCCTGGTGCTTCGTCTGTTAGACTTAAAGTAAGTTGTTTTTGGAAATATGAGAAGGTTACCCCGAGAAATCGGGAGCAGTTAACAGGCAGACACATTGCGGGGCAGCACTTGAGTCATCAAAGTACTTCTTGAAGTCTCTCGCTTAATCCTGCACAGACCTACGCATAGACCAGCTCACCCTTTTCCCAGAGAAAAAAGAAGAAAACAGAGATATCTCTATTAGCTTGAGGTGCATCTAGAATATAGTAGCACAAATCAACTTTTTAGAGGAATTTACCCTTAGAGACTCCCCTTTAAGTTTAAGATAATTAGGCTATAGTATACACTATTATAGAAGCTCTATTTTTCTCTTTTTGTTGACTTAGAAGTTAAGGATTTGAAGTTGGTGGTGTGGGGACAGAGAAGTTGGTGGTGTAGGGACATAAGTGACTTAAGAGGAGGTGGGTCAGTACTTTGAGATAGTCTGAGATGCTAAGGTTTGACCCGCAATCTGTCTGCCTGTTAACCGCTACCGAGAAATCGACCAGATGGGGTCGCCCAGAGGCAGACTGAGATGCGATGAACCCACCCTGTCGGATACGAGATATTTGGTTCAGGACGCTCGCAATATCGTGGGTGCCGCAAATTCCACATTCCACTCCCTGGATTCCATCGACAAGGTACACTGCAGCAAACATGAGAAATACGCAAAATCATCATGCTATGAAGTAGCTCGGAGAACGAACGATGGGAAGTTGAAGGTTGTCTGTGGCATAGACCGTTTCATATCGAACAGCGGCATAGCGAGTGATGAATGGGATGACAAAATGGAACGAACACCTAGGTGTTGTTGCTTACGCAACGCCTTAAATCGCCGTTCAAGGGTCATGACTCCCCGGAGGACATGGTACCCGTAGGCTGCAGGCGCTGCATGGATCGGCAGCCAGTCGAAAGCCTGCACACTGCACTAGGGCGTATAACATTTCATCATACACGGTTGCTTCTCTGAGGTAACTGAGAAGGATTGTCATTTGCTGTTCTGGTTTGGGGTCGGGATTTGGAGTCGCTGACAGTTAGCAATCCTACGTGGATCCGCAGATGAAGCGAGACAAGTTGCCGTTTGCCAGGCGTGCCGGGTCCGCACAAGAAACATTCAGATACACACCTACCTTGGTAGGAAGCAAAGCAGCGGAGGATGAGGCGGCTGAGAGGGATACTACGTGTACCTATGTACTATGTACACAGTACGCGTACCTGAGCAGCTCCAGTGAAAAGGTAGCGTGCAAAAGTGCAGCAGGCGCCACACCGGGTCGGCAGGCTGGGTACCCAAGTCTCTGAAACTTGCGTGTCCCACATTTCCAAACATAGCTCGGCTGGAGAAGCAGAGTTGTTGGCTCACACAACCGTGTGTGGGTGCTTCCTTCTGACCTCTGGGAAGGCCATGTGTGATCAACGCTACCACTTTCGTCGTCCTCAAGAAGACTTGGTGGAGGAGGCTGACAATGCTGACACAGCCTCAAAGCCGGGACTACTGCAAGCCTACTGCACCCTGCTTGGCTTAGGCTCTCCCGTTTGGTGGTTGCGCCCTTGTGCATGTTGCTCGTTCCCGTCATTGGCACCCACATCTCCACCCATTCATAGGCTTCGAGTCTGTGAGGGGCGGGCAGTGTTTGAGGTTCCAAATGGCTCGTACCGTGTACCGTAGTACCTACGTGACGTGTGCTCGTTGCTCTAACCACCGACTAGTCACTTTGGGCTCTCGCTTGGCGGCCTAGGCACGAAGAGTGGCAAGTGCCTTTCTCATCCAAATACCAGACGGGGCACGCTTGTGTTGTTCATAAGCAGGGTCGATTTAAAACAAATAAGTCTTCTCTCATCCCCACTTCAGGGCGTTGGAACGTGCCGTTCTTTCTACTAGATTCATCCCTCGACTGACATATCATTGATGCACCCAGTACCCCCTTCACTCGTTCTTCTATAATTCCTGGTTGCCACCAGTCATCTGGCAGACGAACATTGTGCGCCTCGACACTCAGCATCCCCCGTCTTTTCCTCACTGGGACGGCCATCCGAAGTGGTGTAGGTAGCTCGGATTGTGCACAGGCATATTTAGTCCGCTAGTCCATCATCGACCTCGCCTACCCGCACTGAGGTTAACCTGCAATCGCTTCGCAGCATCACACGCAGTCCGTTCAGACAGCGCACCATCAGCCTGGCTAAACAGGACGGTTAGAGCGAGAGGTCGGCTAGTCGGAAGTAATCTGCTTAGTCCGGCCCACCGCACGCCCACGGATACCTCGCTCATCGGCGTCCACCAATCGACCACTCACTCCCACTCTCACCCAGCCGTCGATTATTGACCTGGTTCAGCTCGTCGAACAAATACCCACGACCCCCCAACCACTCACACTCACACACCTCTCATAAATCTCCCGCTGTCACATTTCTCCGGTACCTGAGCCATTTCCCAACTCGCACTAGTCTGATTCGCCTCACCTCACTCCAGTCCGACCCAGTCCGACCCAGTTCGACCAAGCCTGGCCCTTGAAGCGAAATTCGACCCCGAGAAGAGGACAAAAGAGGACAACAAGGTCAACCCACATTGCCGTTCCTCGGCCTGATCTAATTTCATTTCTTTTCGTGATTGGCATCCCAATACCCACCACGTCATGGCTTCCAACGATTATTACCACGGCAGCAAACCGCCATCAGGAGCAACTCCCTCGCCTGCTCCCTACTACGCCGGCGCATATAACAACAACAACAGCATCCCTTCCACCAGCTCCACCCCTGCGCCTCCCTACAGCTCAATACCGAACGCGCCCAGTGCCAGCCAACCGCCACCGCGCCAAAACACCGTATCCCCCTTCGAAACCGTCTTCGACGATCACGTTTACCCAGTAGACTCGACACAGGACGGGTTCCGGCACAACAGCCACAGCCAGAGCCCCCAGGGTTTGAGTAATATGAATACCGCCTACACTGGCCACGGCCAAACGCCGTACAGCACGTACGATATTGATCAGTCAAAACCTTACGCGCAGCAGGACACTGGTTACTTCGGCCACTCTTCCATTTCTCCCGATCCCAGCAGACCGAATGTGGCCGACGATATTCCTCTGCAGAGCCGGCAGCCGACGCAGCCGCACAAGGACGTTGAAATGAACGACACCGATCACGTCTACGACGCACCGCAGGGATCTCGACGCTCCAAGAGCCAGCGCGACAAGAAGAAGGTCGGCTTTGGTCAACTTGGTATGTTTGGTGCCGACAGGAAGGGTATCCCGTGGGTGGTTTATGTCTTCACCCTGGTTCAGACTGCAGTCTTCATCGGTGAGATCGTCAAGAATGGTAAGGAGACAAAAAATCACGACTGTAAAACTGCATGCTGACTTGCCTCAGCTCAACTGACGGGCTCGCCGATCATGACGAAGCCCTCTTTCAACCCCATGATCGGACCCTCGACGTACGTGATGATCAACATGGGCGCTCGATACGTTGCCTGCATGCACAATGTCAAGGGCATCCAAGATCTTGGCCAGCCCATTACCTGGCCTTGCCCGAACTCGACGTCGAACGATGCCAGCAACCCTTCGAATCAGTGCACCTTGGGCGAATTGTGCGGTTTTGGTGGCGTGCCCGAGCCTACCTACACCAACATCAACCAGTCGCCGGAGCCCAACCAGTGGTTCCGCTTCATCACGCCTATCTTCTTGCACGCAGGTCTTATCCACATTGGGTTCAACTTGCTTCTGCAGATGACGATAGGGAAAGAGATGGAGGTAGCCATCGGCTCGATTCGGTTCTTCTTGGTATATATGAGCGCCGGTATCTTTGGCAACGTCATGGGAGCGAACTATGCCGGCGTCATGGCCGCATCGACGGGTGCATCAGGCGCGCTCTTTGGTATCATCGCCCTTATGCTTCTCGACCTCTTGTACTCGTGGAAAGATCGGCGCAGCCCTGTTAAGGATCTGATGTTCATAATGTTGGACGTCGTCATATCCTTTGTGTTGGGACTTCTGCCGGGTCTGGACAACTTTGCCCATATTGGTGGTTTCTTGATGGGTCTAGCGCTTGGCGTCTGCGTTCTGCATTCTCCCAACTCACTAAGACGGAGAATGGGAGCCGAAGACCCGTCCTACGCATCAATGCAGCTCAATCCTAATCAAGGCCCGCCCCCTTTCTTGAAGAACCCAGTTGGGTTCTTCAAAGGCCGGAAGCCACTTTGGTGGGCTTGGTGGCTGGTCAGAGCAGGCTTTTTGCTGACCATCATCATCGTCTTCATTGTCTTGCTCAACAACTTCTACATCTACCACAACACTTGCAGCTGGTGCAAGTACCTCAGTTGTCTTGTAAGTATCACCGGATCAATTCTCAGCGGCAGTCTGCTAACCCAAGAATAGCCTGTCAACAATTGGTGCGAGCTTGACAACTTCAAAATCACGAAATCTTGAAGGGTCGATGTCATTAGAAAATCGACCGCCCTTATGATGCATCGGGTCACATTTTTGACAAGGGGGTTTCATGGTTTGCATTGCTCAGCGACGGCGTCTGGTTCAAGATGGGTATTTTATGAAAGGGAGTATGTCTACCCGCCTTTTTCCAAACAAGAGAAGAACTGCCTCGAACGACCCATATTGTATTGTACACAAAACGGCAAGGAGGGGAGCATCAGGCTTGTACTTGATGACAGCCGACAGACTAGTGGCCTTGGCTGCACCACAGATCATTTGACTGGCTGAACGAAGTCACGTATTCAAAACTCGGCTGGTCCTAATAGGATTAAAATAAGCATAGCATTTCCCCGACGCAGTTTCGCTTTTATCTTCATGGCTATACAAATGTGAACCAACCGCCACGGTCGGGGCCCTCAGACTCTGTTCGAAGGACCCTCCACCGAGACCTTCAAGGTCGCTCAACCGCGCCATAGCATGTGTTTCATCAGTGTAGGTGACGTCTTCGTCCAGCCCAAGCCTTCTGTCAATGATCCCTTGATGATCTCCTGTATGCGTGGCTGGCTGAGCGGTCCTGACCGGCCGCCGTTGATGTCTCCTAAGAATGGATATCTAAGGAAGGGCCAAATAGCACATTAGGTGTTCATTGTCCCCACTGTGTGTAGCTACGAAATAGTGCTAACCGATGGGAATGTTCTAGTCCTAGTCCTGCATGTCAAATACTGCAGTTGGTAACCCTCCCCTGGGAGAAGAAGAATTGGCGAGCTGCGTGTTGTGAAGTCACAACGCTCACAAGGAAAACACTTTTTGCTGCATCATCATCGTCGTCGTCGTCGTCGTCGTCGTCTTTTTTTCTAGCCTCCATAGACAACTGACGTAATTTGATGATCCAAGACGTGCATGTATGTATGTGTACTTCTCGATTGCCCTATAGGCAGGCAGCGGTGTTGCAAAATGAGATTCGTTTAATTTAGCATCATTTAATGAGTATCAAGGATGACCTCTATCATAAAATTCTTGACAATCTCAAGGCTAATATTGTGCTCTCTGCTGCCGACCTACTTCAAACCTTAGACCCAACAGTGGGGGAAAAGGTCGCGTTCTTCCTTCCTTAGTCATCACGCGCAGCGCGCCTATTAATTAGTAAGAGTGGATCTTTCACGTCACGTCGAGCTGGGGCGCGTCGCGAAATCCACCTTAATTGATTTGCACAGGTCCCCTCTCGATAGCAACAACCCAACAACCCTCCCCCGACCTACTTTATTTACTATGTGTTCTGGCTGATAACCTCTGCCCAAACTCACAGCAAACGGCGCCATACACCCACAATGGCTACAGTTCTCCCCCAGAAGCGGGTGCTCGGAGAAACACCAAGCACCCGTCGCAACATCCCGTCGACGCCGTCATCCCTCAAGAAGCGCAAAGTCGAGGGCTTCTCATCCTCGCCTGCACACCACCTCGACCCCCAGAGGGACGCCAAGGGTCTCCCGGGCTCTAGTCAACCAAAGAGCGCCTTCGAATCCGAAGTTCTTGAGAAACTGAGCCAGGATATTGCCGACCGCAAGCAGAACAATACCGAGAAGGATCAGGCATGGGAGCGGCCTCCTCTCGTAGACTTCGACCCAGCAAGAGACAATCTCATCTTCCAGCAGATCGAGGCCGAAGAAGGCAGTCTACATGGCGGCCGTGCTACAGTCAAGCTATTTGGTGTCACTGAGAAAGGCCACTCGGTGATGCTGCACGTCACCGACTTCAAGCATTACCTGTACGTTGCCGCCCCGGTGGCGTTTCGGCCTGAAGACTGCAATGCCTTCAAAGCCTACCTCGAATCACAAGTGGCGCAGCACCAACCATGCATTCACTCAGTTGCCTTCCTCATGAGGGAAAATATCTACGGTTTCCAAGGAAATGTCAAGAGCCCCTACTTGAAGATCACGGTAATGGACCCCAAGTTCATCAGCAGGGTTAGGACAACGATCGAGTCGGGTAATGCCAACTGGAAGGGAATGTGGAAGGGCATGGATGGTGGCGTCATGACGTTTGACAACATTCAATATGTCCTTCGTTTCATGGTAGACTGCAGGGTATCGTCTCCCCCTCTTTCCTCCTATGTTTGGTCAACGAAGCTAACCTTGCCCTGGTCAGATCTTCGGCATGTCCTGGGTTGAAGCTCCCGCGTCGAAGTATCAAGTTCTGCCCCAGTCACAACGACAATCGAACTGCCAAATAGAAGCCGAAATCAGCCATCTCGACTTGATTGCTCACAAGCCAGTGGGAGAGTGGTCTAAGATGGCCCCCCTAAGAATCATGTCCTTTGATATCGAGTGCGCCGGACGCAAGGGTATCTTCCCCGAGGCAACACACGACCCTGTCATTCAGATTGCAAACGTCGTGACAAGATACGGAGAGAAAAAACCATTCGTGCGGAACGTGTTCTGCCTGGATACCACCAGCCCTATCGTGGCCACGCAGATCCTAGACTTCGAAAAGGAGGAGAAGATGCTCAGCGAGTGGCAGAAGTTCCTTATCAAGGTTGACCCAGACATCCTCATCGGGTACAATATTGCCAATTTCGATTTCCCCTACCTTCTCGACAGAGCGAAACACCTTAAGGTTCCGGGCTTCGAGTACTGGTCTCGTATTCCGAGCATGCCCTCCAGAGCCAAGGATACGAACTTCTCCAGCAAGCAGATGGGTAATCGCGACAGCAAAGCCACAAACACCAACGGACGCCTCCAGCTGGACTTGCTGCAGCTTGTTCAACGCGACTACCACCTTCGCAGTTACACACTCAACTCCGTGTGCTCGCAATTTTTGGGAGAACAGAAGGAAGACGTCCACCACACAATGATTACAGAATTGTTCAACGGAACCCCTGAATCACGTCGACGCCTCGCGCTGTACTGTTTGAAGGACGCCTACCTCCCACAGCGGTTAATGGATAAGCTGTCCTGTCTCGAAAACTACACGGAAATGGCCAGAGTCACTGGTATCCCCTTCAATTTTCTGCTGTCCAGAGGTCAGCAAGTCAAGTTCATCAGCCAGCTGTTCCGTAAAGCTCTTGAGCAGAAGCTTGTCATCCCCAATATGAGAGCTGAAGGCACCGACGAACAGTACGAAGGTGCTACGGTCATTGAGCCGACTCGAGGATACTACGACGTACCCATTGCAACCCTCGATTTCGCCTCTCTGTATCCCAGTATCATGCAGGCCCACAACCTTTGCTATACGACATTAGTCAACAAGAAGGCGATTGAGAAATTCCAGCTGAAGAAGGACGATGACTATATCGTCACACCGAACGGCGATACCTTTGTCACCACCAAGCAGCGCAAGGGTCTCTTGGCTCAGATTCTCGAAGAACTGTTGGCAGCCAGAAAACAGGCCAAGCGCGAGCTCGCTATGGAAACAGATCCCTTCAAGAAGGCCGTGCTCAACGGTCGACAGCTGGCTTTGAAGATCAGTGCAAACTCCGTTTACGGACTCACAGGTGCAACAACGGGGAAGCTGCCTTGTCTTGAGATCGCCAGTAGTACAACAAGTTTCGGCCGGCAGATGATTATGAAGACAAAGGAAGAGGTGGAGAAGAAGTACTGCATCGCCAACGGGTACTCCCACGACGCGCAGGTCATCTACGGCGACACTGACTCCGTCATGGTCAAGTTTGGTACAAAAGACCTGCCCGAGGCGATGAAGCTTGGCGAAGAAGCCGCAAACCACGTGTCTTCCAAGTTTGTCAAGCCCATCAAGTTGGAATTTGAGAAAGTGTACTACCCGTACCTTCTCATCAACAAGAAGCGATATGCCGGTCTGTACTGGACCAAGCCGGAGAAGTACGACAAGATGGATACGAAGGGTATCGAGACGGTGCGACGAGACAACTGTCTTCTTGTGCAGACTGTCATTGAAAAAGTGCTTCGCATGATCCTGATCGACCAAGACGTCCAGGGCGCCCAAGAGTAAGTCGGAGACCACCCACAGGCACCAATAACGCGTACACTGACACTCTCTAGTTACGTCAAGGACACCATCGCAGACCTGTTGCAGAACAAGGTGGATATGTCGAAGCTTGTCATCACGAAGGCACTTACCAAAGACGACTACGCCGCCAAACAAGCTCACGTGGAACTCGCTCAGAGAATGAAGAAGCGCGACGCTGGTTCGGCACCAGGTCTCGGTGACCGAGTAGCGTACGTGATGATCAAGGGCGCGGCAGGCTCCAAGAACTACGAAAAGTCGGAGGATCCCATCTACGTTCTCGAGAACAACGTTCCGATCGACACGAAATATTACCTCGACAACCAGCTTGCAAAGCCCCTGGGCAGGATCTTCGAGCCCATTTTGGGTGAGACCAAGGCGAACTCTCTCTTGGCAGGAGCTCACACGCGGACGATTGCCGTATCGGCGCCGACAGTGGGAGGCCTGATGAAGTTCGCAAAGAAGACGCAGACGTGTATGGGATGCAAGAAACCGCTCAGGGGCAAGGAAGAGAGCGAGGGGGCTGTGTGCTCGGATTGCGCGCCTCGGGTCGGCGAACTGTACAAGAAGACACTGGACAAGGTATCGGACCTCGAGGTACGGTTCGGACGTCTCTGGACGCAGTGCCAGCGATGCCAGGGCAGCATGCACTGCGAGGTGATTTGCAGCAGCAAGGACTGTCCCATCTTCTACATGCGCATGAAGGCGAAGAAGGATTTGGAAGACGCAGGGAAGGAGCTGACGAGGTTCGACTTTGACCAAGCGGCGATCTGGTGAGGCACATGCCAAGATGGGGGATGGCATGGGGGAGGTTTTCCACGACGCCAAGCTGTTTCTTACCCTGAGCCGCAGGTGCAGCAGCGGTGGTGCGGAGGTCTGCGCAGAGAGTCGCATGCACGTCATTTTGGAATAGGCGTTTATCGGCGTTGACTGGTTTACAAGGCCTTTGGGGGGCCAATGGAGACTCACTCGGGTGGGCAAGACAGGGTGAAGAAAGCGGGAACCAGAAATCTTGCTGAGGGGAGAAAACACAACCCGAGAAAGGAGTACTATCGTCCATAACTCGGAAAGAATCGGGAGGGTGGGAAATTGGGACGAGTGTTTGTGTTCTGTATGTAGTATGAAAATGGCCGTAATACGAGGGGGAACAGGAGAGGAGAAACCAGCCTAGTGTGCGGCATTATTTCCACAGAAAAAGATGATGATGAAGATTTTTTTTTATTTTTTTTTTAAGTGTCTTTTACCCCCTCACTTTGGATCTGTCTGTCGCCGAAGTGCGCGCGCGCGTGTGTGTGTGTGTGTCCCCTCAATGGACAAGTTCCGTTGCGGGAACCGGAGGATAATGCGCCTTGTACGAGAGATGTTCTTGTTGTGTACGCGAATTGAGTAACAAAAGACTTACCAGATCGGCATTGGCGGTGGCAGGATAAGGTAGACGACGACCAAGAAGAACCGCCAAACGTCGTCGTCGTCTTCGTCGTCTTCGTCGTGGTCGGCCGCTGCCGGCTTCGGGGTTCCCTTTCGTTTCTCGACACGAGACCCCTTTTTGTTTTGTCTTATTCCATTGTATTACTTCTTCCCGGTGGGGGGGGGGGGGGGGGTTTCTTTGCAAATCTCCTCCGTCCTAGACCGTGTTACCCCGAGGGCTCTTGACTGTGCCTCGCCTCAGCCGCAACGCGACCTTGCAACGCGCCTTTCTCCGGTCAAAATGGCTCCGGGATCTTGGATGCTGCGCTGCTGCCTCATCAAGCTCGCGCCAGGGCACAAATAATCCACAATCGGTACCATACATACAGCAGCAGGGCTCAGAATCGAGGCATGCAGGCACCCATCGCAGCCGTCACTTGCCTCTGGTAACTGAGCAAAGGCTGTTGTGATTCGTATTGTACACGGCGGGAATCCGTTACGTGCGTGCCGGGAGCTCTACTGAGAGACTTCGGGTCATCCCTCCCTCCTCCCCCCCGAAGCCGATTCACCAAGGAGACGGGTGTCTTCCTTGGCCGTTGCTATAAGTGCCCCCCCCCCCCCCCCCCCCAACACTCTGCAGCTCTGTACTCCGTAACGGAGGGTCGAATGGTCGTCTCCGTCGCGTGAGCTGCCGTGCTCCACAGTTCACGCGATGTAGAACACAGTAAACGCCGCAAAGGAACTAAGCAACCTGATTCCGAGAGTATGGGGGCCACTCCCGCCGTGGAACGCTGCGAGATGGAGAAATGGAGCCCCGGAGTACCATTGGAGGAAAGAAACCCCTCTATGGGAAAGGGGGGGGGGGGGGGGGGAGAAGAAAAAAACCTCACTGGTATGTATGGTAGACTGGGGTCGAGAGTTCAGAGTCGAGGTGCGATGTCGGCAGGAGGGGGGTTTGAAGGAGACGAAGGGCTGCAGTCACATTCTGCATGTCGGATTTTCGACTCATCGACAACGGCAGTTCCGCGTCGCCTGCGGCAGTGCTGCTCTTCACTTCCGATAGCGGAAGCGCGACCTGGGGCGCCGAAAAACGGCGCGCATTTGCCAACCTATCCTGTCACAGCCAAATGACCAAGGCTATTCCTACCCAGTCGCATTGAGCCGCCGCATCAACAGGACTTACGAGTTGTGATGAGCAATTGACATGTGTCCAACCTGTCGCAAGTCTCTGCGCCCCTCAAGAGTCTCTTATCTGACCCATGCAAGACATGACGCCGCGCCGTCATGGGCAGCAATGCAGCACCTCACTCATCAAGGTATTCTCTGCGCGCATCGATCTAGCGACATCTGCTCCTAGCGCTGCCAAATTTTTATGTCTTGGTTGCGGCGACCAATGACAGGTCGCCGATAGGCAGCTGAGATACGGCTTGCACACAACGTGGGAGAGTCTACAGACAAGCTGGTAGTGTCCTCCCCCTGTCAACCCAAGAGTACTGTGCACAATAACAGCAATAAACCTTATATCCTAAAGGCTACAGGTTCAAATCTAGTTTTCTTGGATTTTTTTTTTAATTCTAAAATGGCTCCGCCGGGGAAGGTTAGAATAGTACTAACCCACCCTGCTTCCTACGCTGCGCTCTAGGTTAAGATGGGCCAAGACTAACCCTTTTTAAGTTGTGTTATTACTAAATCCACTGTCTACTGAGGTTTATTATAGTTATTGTGCACGGTACTCTCGGGTGGACAGGGGGGGACACTATCAGCTTGTCTGATCACTCGACGTGGGAGGTACTGATGTCGGCTCTTGTTCGAGTGGCCCGCCAAAGCATGCAAGCCGATCTGCAAATGACATCGAGATGCGACGGGGTGACGGGATGCCGTCTCGGGCCCTTTCGATTATCGAGACAGGTGGGGGGGGCCAAGACGGGGGACCCAGAGCGTCCAGGCGGAAACATGTGCCAGCGGGATCTCGAAAGGAAGGCAAGATGCCCAAAGGCCGCCGCAGGCCATGGCAATCGTTGGATGACGCCCGATGATTCCTGTTCCGACTATGGAGACCCTTGAAAGTGTGTCCACACCATCCCTGGCCCCTGCGGTCTCCTGGTTCCGCCTCAGCATGGCAAGCCAAGCTGGGGTCGCCGCCTCCGGGATCGCAACGCTCGCTCGAGCGATGTACGGCTGGGGCAACCTCTTACCTCTTTGTGATGGCTTTGGATAATTCACAGCCGCCGAGCAAATCAGAAAGCTGCATGAAGGGACCTGACTCCCTGTCACATGGCGTGGAAACCCGGGCCCGGTCCCAGCACTCTGTTCAGCCTAGACTCGTTGAATATTTTTTTACGTCAACCGCGTGGGTTCGACCCGAGCTGTTTTGTGATGGGTAGGACAAATGGCCGGTCTGTCACCGAATGAACGCCTCGTAAGATGAGATACAGGCGAGGGAGAATGGCCTATCTCCGCGCCCCCCCCACGGCCGAGCCGGACATGTCATTGATCGCGCGCTAGTCCCTGGTCCTCGCTGCATCTGCGACCAACACCAAGGGGGGTTCCCGAAGCTTGGAAGAGTCGACAACTATGGCGGCGGGATGCCGCTAGACACTTCGCGGCCGGCGACCTGTGAGCTCTTACTTCATTCGATTTGGCTAGGGGTCCCGGTCGACGGGTCTCCCAGCTGTGTATATAATCTTGCGGGCGTACCCTTCCCCCTCGGTCTGGTTGACTTGGAACCTCATCAGCTTCTCTGCCTCTCTCTCTCCCTCTCTTCCTCTCCGCTACCGACGAACTCCTACATACCTCTCGGAAACGTCACTTCAACTTTGAATCGCCACATTCATCCTCGACCAGCCGCTAAAATGTCTAACCTTCCCACAGAGCCCGAGTTCGAGCAGGCCTACAACGGTATGTCGCCATGTCAAGGCTTGCGTGCTGCCTCGGACGAGACTGACAAAGATGAACAGAGTTGGTCAGCACCCTCGAGAACAGCTCCCTCTTCACGCAGTACCCCGAGTACAGGACCGCCCTCGAGGTCGTCTCCATTCCCGAGCGTGTCATCCAGTTCCGCGTTGTCTGGGAGGACGACAAGGGCAAGCTTCAGGTCAACCGCGGTTACAGAGTCCAGTTCAACTCGGCCCTGGGTCCCTACAAGGGCGGTCTGAGGTTCCACCCTACTGTGAACTTGTCCGTCCTCAAGTTCCTTGGTTTCGAGCAGATCTTCAAGAATGCTCTGACCGGCCGTAAGCTCTTCCGACAAACCCAAAGTGGAAGCGCTTCTCTGATTTGTGTATAGTCAACATGGGCGGCGGAAAGGGTGGTTCCGACTTTGACCCCAAAGGCAAGAGCGATTCCGAGATCCGTCGCTTCTGCGTCGCCTTCATGCGCCAGCTCAGCAAGCACATTGGCGCTGACACCGACGTTCCAGCTGGTGACATCGGTGTTTCCGGCCGCGAGATCGGCTGGCTCTTTGGCACCTACCGCCAGGAGCGCAACAAGTTCGAGGGTGTCCTCACCGGCAAGGGCCTCTCCTGGGGTGGTAGCTTGATCCGCCCCGAGGCTACTGGTTACGGCGTTGTCTACTACGTTGAGCAGATGCTCAAGTATGCCGGTAAGGGCACTTTCTCCGGTAAGAGGGTGGCTATCTCGGGATCCGGTAACGTCGCACAGTACGCCGCGCTTAAGTGTATCGAGCTCGGCGCTACCGTCGTCTCCCTGTCGGATTCGCAGGGCTGTCTCGTCGCCGAGGGCGACGCTGCCTTCACCCCTGAGCAGATCGAGAACATCGCCAACCTCAAGGTCCAGCGCAAGTCTCTGACCGAGTTTGACCACAAGGGCTCCTTCATGTACATCAAGGGTGCCCGCCCCTGGACCCACGTCGGCAAGGTCGACATCGCTCTTCCTTCCGCGACCCAGAACGAGGTTTCCAAGGAGGAGGCTGAGGCCCTCGTCGCTGCTGGCGTCATTGCCGTCGCCGAGGGTTCCAACATGGGCTGCACCCAAGAGGCCATTGACGTTTTCGAAGCCCACCGCAAGGAGAAGGGTGCCGAGGCCGTCTGGTACGCCCCCGGAAAGGCCGCCAACTGCGGTGGTGTTGCCGTCTCTGGCCTCGAGATGGCCCAGAACAGTCAGCGCCTGAGCTGGACCAGCGAGGAGGTTGACCAGAAGCTCAAGGACATCATGACTGCCGCTTTCGAGAACGGTCTCAACACTGCCAAGGCCTACGTCAAGGGTGGCGAGGGCGAGCTTCCCAGCTTGGTCGCCGGTAGCAACATCGCCGGCTTCGTCAAGGTTGCCCGTGCCATGCACGACCAGGGTGACTGGTGGAACTAGGCGTGTAGCGTCGGCAAAGTGGCAGAGATGAGTGCGAAAAGAGGGTGCGGATAAAGGCGACGGACTGACATGGCGAAAGAATTTGGGGTTTTTTGTCATACCATGAAAATGTACTTCGGAGCTGGCGTTGGTGGCAGGGATACCTGAGATACTTCTATACCAATCAATTTGTTTTCCAAGCATACCGGTCAGCTAACTAAATGATGATATGTTGCATCGGCTCTTGGTCTGTCCTAACGGTTCCTCTCCCGGGTTGAAATACCGAAGAAAGAATACGCAGGAGCCGGATCCTGCGAGGGACGCCCACCATAAACGGGATGGCGCTATCTTGCTGTGGGTGTGAAGACAAAGTGCCAACGATAGATTGCTCCCAGGCTGCTGTTGGCTGGCGATATATCGACAGCAACAGTCAGGCATGGCTGACGACAGGTTGGCACACTTCCGCACTCGTATTGAGAGACCGCAGCCCGGTAGTGCGGGAACAACCAACAAGCACGATTTGCGATACAACCTGGTGGGTAGCAACGGTCGGGTAGGCTTGCGGTACGACGAGGTAGCGATTCGACGAGGACGATGATGGCACCTGGGAAGCAGCTACCCGGTCCGCATGTGATGTCACAACAACTGGCGAATCGACGTCGTTATTGGCGACTCGGCCTGACCGTTCAGACGAACGCTCAATGGCTAGCTCCAGGTTGAGTCTACTGGGGTCCATTCCCCTGTCCTTGGCTCTCGTGGGGTGTTACTGACAAGGCGTGGGCTGTGCTGCATATGCCGGCTCCGTAGCGCTGAGCTGACATTGGTCAGACGGAGGCACAGCTCTGCCAGTAATTATCGTTGGTGGCTCCCATGGTATCCAAAGAGAGTTTGTGCGACGGCTTGAAAGAGGACAGTCCGGGGATTATGTATGCCGTAGAACGACTCGACGATAACGCTGATTCGGCCTCGGAATGGACCCAAGGCGGCACAGCATATGGATCCTGTTTTATTTAACGTCATGTCACTAAAACTGCGTGTATCAAGTGGTGGAAACGGCGGATGGCGGTGCTCCTGACGGACGACATAACGAGATGGAGTCAGTGGGCAAGGCGCATCGTAAGGTGCTGTGTGTCCTCGACACATGGCCGAGTTTTGTGACACCGAGGCATGGGTAGACAGATAGATGTGGACCGAATAGACCATCGATGGTTCTAATTAGTTGAGTTGATGGCTGCGTTTCGCGGCCAATTGTCCTGTCCTCCCGACGGATGGTGGCTGCTTGGCTGTCGGCTTCCGCCGTTCGATCTTGGTCACTTCCTTGCCATGATTACACTGTTCGGAGAAGACGCCATTGTCTGTGTAAGCGGTTGCAGGACATTGACGTGAAGCTAATGGGCTGACCCCTGCAGGAAGCGGTAGTCCGATGTAGCGGAACGTGCGTCGGGGGGGGGGGGGGTCAGACAGATAGGACAGGTACCTCAGCCCTATGTCCGGGGAGAGAGGAGAAAGGCTGACCTGTGCGCAGACGGACGACGGCATTGGATGATGTCGTTGTATTCGTATGGAGACGAGACGACCCCGGCGTGTGTGTCCCCGCCGCACGATTGCTGACAATGGGCCGATTGGTGTCACCGATGATGTCGGACCTGGGAGATGGAGCAAGAGGGAAGGGGAGGTTAGAGAATGAATGTGACGAATCATGAAGTTAGGTCTGGGCGAGGGTTGCTGTGCAGTAACATGGCGCTGGATGATCGGTCAGACGCAGGCTCAGCCTGACGGTTGCCTTGCGACAGCGGGGACTGAGTTTGGTTTGTGTAGGTATATGTGAAGTACCTAGGCATTTAGAAGAAGGCATGGATGAAATTCAATTGGGGGACCGTTGTGTCAGTAATTAGCGGCAGGCGCAGCATGCGACGACTACTGCAAGCTGTCAGCCGCCCAGCGCCCGTCGCCCGTTCCGCAAAGGGCGGCCGGATGGCGCAGCCCCCACTGCGGGCCCGCGGCAAGGACCCGCAGCGTTGATCGCTTAGGTAGGTAGGTAGGTAGGTAGGTGCCTAAGCACATGAGAGTGTTTTGCAGCCAGGAGTCCTCATGGCTCTGGACATGGATCGAGATACAGTCAGACGAATGGCGAAAGCAGTGCGTTGGATCTAGGAAACCCACGATTTTTCAGATTTACACACATCTTCATCCAACCAGATAGATCTCCATCATGAAATCACCGTCCCTTTTCACTCAACTATTGCGGCCCGTGCCTGTTGCTCATCTCTCGGATGCTTCGACGAGGTACACGTCGTCTTCACACTGATGTCGCATTCTTCTATGACCCGGTCTGGCAATCGTTGACCACGAAAACCACGGCCTGTTTACACATCTCGCTAGCAGGCCGGGGTCGGCTTACATGCGAGTCTCTACCTCGCCAACCAAAGAGTTTCGTTGACGGCCTGCCCTCCTTGTCCCAGGGGAGTAGTTTTACATAGGTAGTCAATCACCCAACAGGCTGCGTAAAGCCACGAATAGAGGACTGCAGAATCTCGTGTGCAACTAGACAGCTTTGGAATATAGTATCTACACACCTAAGTAGACTGCAAATAGACTAGCCTAGTCCCCTCGCTACCTACCTAGGTAGGTCGATATCGGCTGCCATGTTGCCATTAGCACGCAGAAGGCGTCTCTACTTCAGTTCTGACTAAGCGCGGGCCGTCGCAGCCGTTGATGGAGGGAATCCTTCCGGCATTGGGAGAGACTCGGCTCGGGGGCAGGAGTGAGCGACCATGGCTATGCTATGCCTCGCGGTTCCCATTTTACTCCAAGGGCTGCTTGCGGTTGCCTTGCGCGCAGGGTCGCAAGGAGGTTTCCTGTGACCGGCGCTGCGGTGTCAATTGTGGCTGCCTGGGGTCGATCAAAGGTCGAAATTAGGGTAAACCACGGTGACATTTCCCCATTGCTGGAATCGTCAAGGCGTGCAAGGGTGTTCCAGGCAATCATATTCGGGACCGCGTGGTATTATCTTTTTTCTTCCGTACTTGGTACCTAGCTTACCTATTTAGGTAGGTACCTAGGTAGATTGGTAGGTACACCATGTGGGATACCTTTGGGACGCTATTGCCCTAGTGGCAGATAACCGGGGGGCCGGGGTCCAGGACCAAAATCCAAACGGTCGCGAGGCCCGGCCAAGGCAAAGGAGGAAACGACTTTTGAGGCCTATGATTGGCTCATTTGCGCGATGGCTGACTTGAGAAAACCTCTCTTGGCCATGTCTCTTCTGGCCCACTCATGGCGACGACCTCGACCCACATTGGTTTGTTTCTCCGTCTCACTCGCTCGCTCGCACACTGCTCGCAGCCATTCAGCTCATCCCACCAGCCGATGGCACTAACGATACCGACATGAAGCGGCTTCTTTCTTTCTTTCTTTTTTTTCCCTCCCCCCCTTCCCCCTTCTCTTCTTCTTCTTCTTCATCCCACCACGACGGGGCAGCTCGTGGTCCGGCCAATAGACGCAGGCCACCCTTGGCTACCGTAGGCCCCAGCTCCCCGTCCTTCAGCCCCCCCTTTGCGCAGTGCAGTTCATTGCAGCGCAGTAGTACGGGTACGGTACTCTGGCCGTGTGTACTTTCGGCGACGCCATCTGCGCACCTGGCCAGCACAACCGTCCACTCACACGTCGACAAACATGGCCCGCTGAACCCGCAGAGTCTCACTCCCATCTCTCCATCCGACTACCACCTCACCCCGGCTTCAGCACTGCAGCCCGTGCCAACGCTGTCGTCCTTTGTACTCTCCGTCCTCTGTCTCTCCTAACATCAGTTCCAGCCAGCCTCATCACGCTGGTGCCGTCCCAAGGAGGTTGAGCTCTGCTACCAACTCAGATCTGGATTCTGGGCCCGACACGATATAGCCGTGGTGTCGCACCATTGTCTTTTTGCAGCCCCCGATTGCCTCGACTTCGGTGGAGATTCACCGCGGGCCTCATGCTGCGAGCCGCGCTGGCTCGTGGTCCATTTCTCCTTGCGCCCATCGTTCCCCTCCGCCTTTGCATGCCATGACGGATCCGGCGCCGTTCCTCGCCGCGTGGGAGAGGTTCGCAATTCGTAGCGCATCCAATGCACCTCACACTCAGCCCTTGTACCTGATAGCAAGGATGCTCCCAGTACCCCGGTCGCCCGAGGTGGTGTTCCCTAGTCTGCTGAAGGTGAGCCGTCTAGGTAGTCTATGTACCTACTGTGTAAGCTACCCTATACAAGGGCTCATCTGCTAGTGCGGGATTCCTGAACCAGGAATAGGATCGCGCGACGCATCTCTGCTTAGCCCCCAAGGCTGTATGTAGGCTTACATCTCCTTTCTGGAGCCCTTTGCACCCCCTCGTCTTCTGATGTAGCTCGGCTTCCGAACCCGTCGTCATATCCAAGCCCACATCTCCTGTTTGCTTCTCCCTTTTTCCATCTGTCGCTATATAGACTCTTGTGCATCCTGCCCATCGCCAGTCCTTGACCCATCAACCATACCAATCTAATATCTCCGCCAGCTACTGTTTATACAAGGAGTCTCTCCAGAGGCCACCACATATTCTAGACACCCCTGTCTCTGCTTGATAGTGTCATTACACGAGATCTAAACCCAACAATCGAGTTGGTGTTTCCAGCGCCGGGCGCGCCGCATTCATGGCTCCAATGGCTACCACCGATAGCCCAACAAACGGCGTCAAGTCCATCAATGTCGAGAAGGCCAATGGATACCGCACGCATAACAACTACACGTACATCAATGGCCACAACGGCCAAAATGGCTCAACTCCCAGACAAAATGGCTTCTCGCCCGCCTCCACAGACTCCCGTCCTCCGACATCATCCTCACGGTCGTACCAAGAGGAGCCCCCTTCCAACGGGATCAGATACAGCAAATCTCACAGAATCCCAACATTCGGCATCCATGAAGAGGACAACGGTCCCAGATCGAGGGGCTATGCCAATATTCGCACATATGCCGACGATGTCCGGAGGCAGTACCCCCGTATCTCGAAGCCCGTCGAGCTTATGCGTAGCAGCTATGACTGCGTTGTCATCGGCTCGGGCTACGGCGGTGCTGTTGCCGCGTCCCGCCTTGCCCGCTGCAATGATGCCAACGAGAAGCGCCAGTCTGTCTGTGTGCTGGAAAGAGGTCAGGAGAAGTGGCCCGGTGAATATCCCACTGGAGTTCTAGATGCCTTTGATGAGGTCCACGTTTCTGGCGAATTTGCTCCTGGCTGGCTCCCAAGCACCACCGTTGAAAGTGGTAACCCGACGGGCATGTATCACTTGATATTTGGAAAGGGACTGAACGCCGTCGTCGGCAACGGTACGCCATTGTCTCCATTTGCTGCATAGAATCACGTTGCTGATCCGTCACAGGCCTAGGAGGGACAAGTCTGATGAACGCCAATGTCTTCCTCGAGGCAAACGAAGCCACACTGTCCATGCCTATCTGGCCCAAGGCCATTAGAGAGGATCCGGGATGTCTCAAGAAATGTAGGTACCACTCTTCGAACCCGTGGGAGACGCCAGTAAGAAAAGAAAAACCTAAAAAAAAATAATGATCACTAACATTGGCCCGGCTCAGTCTATTCGAGAGCCAGGGAGGTTCTCGAGCCCACCGAATACCCAGATGACTGGCCCGAACTCCCCAAGGTGAACCTGTTCAAGAAACAAGCAGCTGCCCTTGGTCTTGCGAACAAGTTCAAGATGGTCCCGCAAACAACCAGATTTCGCAACGGTCCCAACAGTACTGGAGTAGAGATGTCCCCGTCAGCTCTGACCGGCCAGGACTGCACCGGCGTCAATGATGGCTCAAAGACTACTACCCTGGTGACCTACCTGGCGGATGCCTGGAACTGGGGCGCAGAGATGTTCTGCGAGAGCGAGGTTCGATACATCAAGAAGGCTGACCCTGGAGTCGGTGGCTATATCATCTTCTTCGCCTGGCATGGCCGCAATAGAGGTCACTTCAAGGCGAACCTACACGGGGACTTGATGTGGGTCCATGCCAAAGAATGCGTCTTCCTAGGTGCTGGTGCCATTGGCAGCACCGAGATCCTTCTCCGCAGTAGGGAGATGGGCTTGGCCATGAGTCCTCGCGTAGGCGAGAACATGAGCGGCAACGGTGATATGCTGGGTTTCGGGTAGGTACCGCTCTCTCAGCAGCCGAGTCTTGTGGCTAGCTAACCCCGGAGTCAGATACAACATGGACGAAGAAGCGAACGCCATCGGAAAGCCCTTTCCCAGTCCGTATAACCCAATCGGTCCCACGATTAACTCCATCATCGACGACCGAGAGGGACATGAGAACCCTCTCGATGGATACGTGATTCAGGAGGGCGCGATCCCTCGATCTTTGACACCGTTTCTTCAGACCCTGCTAGAGATGATGCCCGGAAGCATCGAGGCCACCGGAGAGTCGTTTCAGGAGAGAGTGCGCTCCTCATTCGCTCGATATTCAAGCCACTTGTTTGGCGCTTACCGCCAGGGCGGATCAATGGACAACACCCAGGTTTATCTGGTCATGTCCCACGATAGCAGCCAGGCGATGCTTACCCTCAAGGACGACAAGCCGGTTCTCGAGTTCCTCGGCGTAGGACGTAGCGATCATGTCCGGAAGCTTAATGACTTGTTGGCCAAGGCTACCCAGGCTGTGGGCGGCACATTCGTCAACAACCCGTTTCACGCCTTGATGGGAGGCCAACAGGTGACTGTTCATCCTATTGGGTAAGTTCAACCTTGGTTCATCCACGACGTTTACTAATGCCCTGTTTAGTGGAGCATGCATGGCCCGAGACGATACCGGTGCCACCGGCGTCACGAACGATGTTGGTGAGCTGTTCGCTGGCGACGAAAGTAAAACCCACCCTGGTCTGATTGTGACCGATGCCTCTGTCATCCCCGGTGCCATCGGCGTCAACCCATTCGCCACCATCACAGCCCTGGCCGAACGTTCTGTCGATGCCTACATCCACAGAAAGAACCTCAAGATCCACCCTAACAAGAACGGTATCCTGGACCTCTTCGGCGAGCCCAGATTCGCACCCAAGGATACCCAGGACGAAGAAGAAGAGTCCGACGTCGAGTGCCAAAAGATTCATGAAGCGAAGTCTTTGATCCATCACGCCGCCAGGTCAAAGGCGGGGGGCTTTGGTTTCACCGAAGTCATGTCGGGATTCGTCCACCGCGATGACGGGCTAGTAGCCGACAAGCGGGCCACTTATGAGTTGGCCTACCGAACGGCCAAGAGCCTTTGCGAGAGTGCGAGGTTCTTCCTAAGTGTACAGGCCTTCAACACGAAGTCCATGATCAAAGAGCCGGACCACTCCGCCATGCTGACAGGCACCTTCGTCTGTCCCACTATCCGCGGGTCGCCGTTCATGGTCCAGCGGGGTGACTTCAACCTGTTCATCCTTGACCAGAAGGCCCCTGGAACTCGGAACATGACCTATGACTTCGGCCTGCGAGGTGTCAATGGCGAGAAGTATCATTTCCATGGATACAAGGTTGTCGATTCCTCGGTTGCGCTGGCTCCATTCCAATTCTGGAAGGCCACCAGCACCCTATATGTCACCATCTCGGAGCCGAGTGGCAACTTGCACACAATTGAGGAGTGTGAGGAGCCATGGCGTCTCGGGAAGGTTGTTGCAAAGGGCATCATGCACATCCAGCCCGCCGACTTTGTTTCTCAGATCATGACCATGACGCCGACTGGAAGCGGCCTCATCCGGAAGGCCTACAGCGCGGCGAGCTTCTTGACCTACTTCACCCGCAAATCGCTGTCGCTCTTCTTGGCGCCCTTTACGCCTTTGCAATATCCCAGCGTCACCTACAATGGTTATGTCAACGACACGCCTCCGGCGGCGTCCTTTGTTATCGTCGCCCGTGACGGCGTCAAGACGCGAATGCACATGTGGGAGCCGACCAACTCGGCTGTCGAGGCCAAGAATCTTTTCATGATCCCGGGCGCCGCGGTGGACCATCAAATCTTCGCTCTGCCCACAATCAAGTACAACGCAGTCAACTACTTCACTCGTGCCGGATACCGCGTCTTCGTCGCGGTCCACCGCATCGGCCAGCTGATGGTCGCCCAGAACAACTGGACCACCTACGACGCCCGACTCGACTTGCAGGCCTGCTTGGAGTACATCCGCGAAAAGTACGCCGATGGCAACTCCAAAGACAACAAGGTCTACTGCATCGCTCACTGCATGGGAAGCGTCGCCTTCTCCTGCGGTCTTCTCGACGGCACCATCCCTGCCAACTGGGTGCACGGCATCACTGGCAGCCAGGTATTCATGAACCCCATCTGGACGACCCTCAACATGGCCAAGGTCATGGCGGGCCCCATCCCGCTCGACAAAATGTACAAGATGGTCCTCGGCAACTGGTTCTCCTGCAGCACGGCCAAGGACGACAGCTTCCTCCAGCGGGCCCTCAACGAGGTGCTGCGGCTGTACCCCGAGGAGAGGAAGGAGATCTGCAACAACGCCAGCTGCCACCGCTGTACGCTCGTTTTCGGCCGGTGCTGGAACCACAGCAACCTCAACGAGGCGACGCACCGGCAGATCGACCGCTTTTTCGGCGGCGTCAACATGACGCAGCTGCACCTGCTCATGAAGCAAGGAGCCGAGGGCCACGTCATGACCAACGGCCCGCTCTTCCGGCCCCTCACGACGACGGAGAACATTCGCAGGCTACGGGGCATCCCCGTCATGCTGTTCGTCGGACGCGATAATGCCGTGCTGACCCCCGAGGCGACGGAGCGGACGTACGAGATCCTGTGCGACACGTTCGGGTCCCACGGCGGTGACGGCCACAAGGGTCTGCAGTACCGCCGGCGCGTCGTCCCCGGCTACGGGCACCTGGACTGCTGGATGGGGCGCAATGCGTGGAAGGACGTGTACCCGTTCATCAGGGAGGAGGTCGACCGCGTCGTCCGCGGGGAGGACTACCACTTCACCGACCCCGAGGACAACTTCTCCCGCATGGTGGAAAGCGGAGAGCTGTTGTACTAGGTCGTCGATGTTTCGTGGTCTGTGATGTTTTGCTCTTCATCTTCGGGGCGGGCTTGGGCTTGGTTGTGGATTGGGGTTTTCCTCGTCAAGAGGCGGAAGGTTATATCGATACCCTCTCACAGGTGGTTCACCTTGGAAAGTTGCACACAAAAATCGGGGTGAGGGGGGCCAAGGGAAAGGCGGAAAAGGAACGAAGCGTGCTGAAATTTGAACGGATGGGGGTGTAAGGAGGGCTTCACACTCTCTCGGTATCGGGATGGAGTTTCGGGTGGGAACTGTCGTTGTGTTGTTATGACAAAAAGGAAGCTGCGCTTCTCTACAGCGCATTTATATATCATTCATCTCCCTTTGGCTAGGAATAGAAAAACCAAGACCCAAAAATGAAAAATTCAAAATGTTGAACACGTACGCCAGAGCCCTCTCTCAATTTCCCCAAATCGTACACAGATACACGTTCAGTCCGCCCCCCCCCCCCCCTCCACCGTTTTTCTTCACTCCCCTCCCCAAACGGGGGTTTCAAGGGATATGACGGAAAACAGTTAAAAAGTGTGCGTAGGGAGGCACGCTTCGCATTCCTACAACATCTCCGCCCGCGGCCTGGCGTAGTTTGCTTCCAGAGCGTCCCAGTCGACATCGGCGGCCGGCCGCTCGGCCATCGGCGGCGGCGCCCAGGCGTCGTCGTAGACGAGTCGCGTGTCGTCGCGGTAGATGTAGCTCTGACGGTGCCACTCCTCCTCGCTGGGCGCCTCGACCCGCCCCAGCGAGACGTCGAGCTGCTCCACCGAGGCGTCGTCGTCCCAGGCGACCCAGGCCGCCGGCTGGCCCCCCTCGACTTCGACCCTGTGCGACGACGGGCCCCACTCGAACGACCCGCGGGTGAGCGCTGGAGTCGTGACCTCGATGACCTGGCCCCTGCGCCGCCTCTTCTGGTTAGCCGGCGCCGCGGACGAGGTCGAAGCCACGACGCGGGTGAGCTTCACCTCGAACGCGCCCTTGGTCGTCGCGAAGCCGCCCCGGGCGAAGCCGAGCCACTTGGAGAGGTGCGGGCGGACGGTCCACTCGGCGCCCGCCGGGGCGAGGAGCCGGATGCCCAGGACCTCGGACGTCAGCACGCTCGTCGGGCCCGAGGACCACCCGTGGCAGTGGGAGTTGCGGGCCGCCGACCGGTAGGCCGGGTACTGCACGCCGCCGTCGACCATGAAGCCCTCGGCGAGGGTGCTGTTTGTGAAACCGGGGCCCTCGAGGAGGTAGGACCACTCGAGGAGCATCAGCTCCACGGCCGCGTCGTGGTTGTCGGCGGCGGCGTGGCCGAGCAGCTCGAACGACGAGACAAAGGGGGAGATGACGTTGGGGAACTCGACGGCCGGCGCACCGTGCCTCGTCCACCGCGACCGCAGGTTCTCCGAGACGACAGCACGGCGATACCGCGGCGCGGCGCCCGATATGAGGGCCCAGCTGTTGCCGTCCTGCGGGTCGGTGTGCTCCGGGCCGCGGCAGCCGCGCCGGCCGATGTTGTCCGAGTAGAGCCCCGTGTCTTTGCAGTAGAGCTGCTGGATCCCCGCGTTGAGCCTGGTGCGTGTGACGGACCAGACGCCGTGCGGGCGGGCTGCGGGGCGGTCGTCGCGGAGCCACTCGGCGAGCCTGATGCTCTTGTCCAGGGCGGCGCTGAGGAGGGAGCTAGCCTCGAGGTTGTGGCCCGTCATCCCGGGGCGCAGCCAGTCGGCGCCGCTGGTGACGTGGAGGAGGCCGGTGCGGTCAACCTTGCCGATACTCACATGGAGGGCCTTGAGGTACGCCGGCCAGCGCCGAGCGAGCCAGTCGACGTCGCCCGAGTACTTGACGTAGTTGTAGGCGCCCAGCAGGGTGTGGATATGGTACGTGTCGCTGAACTCACGGCGGAAGCCCAGGGGCGGGCCGGCGTAGGGCAGCGAGCCGTCGGGGTACTGGTGGTCGAAGAGGACGTCCAGGGCGTTGCGGACGGCGAGCATGTCGTAGGTGCTGACGGCGATGCCGGGGATGGCGATGGACATGTCGCCCGGCCAGACGACGCGATCGCGCTTGGCGCCGTCGGTGGTGACGGCGGTGCCGTTGGCGATGGTGAAGTTGGAGTACCACGACCCCGCGGGCGACTCGTTGTGGTCCCAGTCACGGTTGTAGTCGATCAGGGCGGAGCCCTCGCGCGGGTCGATGGTGGAGAGCTGGAGGGTGTAGGCGCCAGCGTACCAGATGCGGTTGAGCATGGGGTTCGAGCTGTGGAAGTAGCCCGAGTAGGCCCGGCCGTTGGGCTGCGAGGGGAAGGCGGTGCAGTTGACCCAGAGGTTTCGGAGCGTTACCCACGGCTTCTTGTAAGGGTCCCTGACAGGCAGGTCGCGATGGGCTTCTTCACTGTCGCTGCGGTGTTCCGCGAGGACGGCCTGGCCATCTGGGCTGGGTTGCTCGACGACGCGGTCATCTGCGATGACGGGGTATTCCGGCATCGAGAGGGTCAGATACTTGAAGGCGCCCCGCAGGAACTCCTTGCCCACGCACACCGTGCCGGTCGTGTCGTCGAATTCAAAGTGCAACGGCAAGTCGCGCTCCAGTTTCTCGGTCGTGGTGTCCGGTTGCGGTCCGGCATAGAGCGAGGATTCGGAGTAGGCCAGGTAGATCTCGGGTTCGTTGCCGGCGGAGGACACATCGAAGCACACGCTACGGGTGTACCGACAGACATTAGCCACAGGAACGCACCGGCGGGGGGACCAGACCCGGAAATGTACCGTCCAGCAATGTTTTCCTCAAACTCGAGCGTCAGCACCCCGCCCGGCCCAACGGTGACGCCGTTGCCGAATGCGTCTGCGGCCTTCGCGCCGACCTCGACCTCCTTCAGCCCGGATGTCGTGACATTGCCCTCGGCGTCCCATATGCGGGACGGCACGATGCGGGTCTTGTCCGCGGGCGCCTTGATGTAACTCTCCCAAGGTCCCTTGAAGATCGACGCAGTGGGGAGAGCCCCGGGGTCGATGAACGGAGGCCGCAGTGCCGCCAGGGCTGTGGAGGGGGCGAGGAATACCGCGAGAGAGGCCCATCCCGCGACGGGCGTCGTAGACTTCATGGTTCCGGACTCAGGCTCGATCGGCTGCGGGTTCACCAAGCATGCGGAGGGTCGAAAAAGAAAAAAGAGGTTAAAGATGATATATAAGTCCGGCGAGTCGAGTCCATTAGGACAACGTATGCGCATATGCGGGAGACATGCGTGGTGGGCTTGCGGCGGTTGTACGATCGGAAGGCCGTCCCTGTCGAGAGGGATGGATGTAGTGTATACTAGGTACCTAGCTGCGCACGAGCACTGCTGTTGAGGCATAAAAGTCCGGTTGCGGATTTGGGCCATAGACCGTTCGTTGTACCTGAGTGCCGAGCCGCACTACCCCGCGTCGAACCCCCCTCCCCCGGCCGCCGATCCCCCCCACAGGGCAGAGAAGTGGTCACCGAGTCCCCATTGGCCCATCATCATCACAGGCGAACTTTATCGATTTATACCATCTCTACTCTCGAATATATGGTCTGCTCCTCGCCAGGTATCGCCGGAAAATACACATGCAACTTCCCACACCCGTCAAAGTACCGTGTACACCAACGTGAGACGCGCGAAAATGCCATGTCTCAAGTTCTTGCTCTATTTTTATCCCATTGCCCCACCAGCGCCACCAGCGCGAGTCGCAACGCCCTCCCTTCCTTCTATCATGCGTCTAGTCCATCCAGCTCTATCAGCTTTCCGACCATCTTGATCACCTCATTGTTCGTAAGATCCAAGCCGGGGTTCTCAATCTTCATCGCAATCACATCGTCAACCATGCCTCTGAGCCTCGACACCAAGACTCCCAGCCGCGCCCAGCCTCGGAGACGCACCCACTCATCGACTACGAGTCCTCGTCCCAAGGTGTCCAGGCTGATGGCGCCCGAGAACAGGAGTAAAGTGTAGGCGTTGAAGGCTATACAACAGTCAGTAAAGAATCCCTCTGGACTCGAAACTAAAGACTCGACGACTTACGAGTCAGATCCCGGATGAACGTCTTGCTGGTCGAGATCAGTGTGAAGTATGACATGAAGGACGCATTGCCAGTGAATCCCTGGCTGCCGAACAGCGTGCTGCTGGGGTGCACAAACACGCGCCCCTGCTCCTGTGTGAAGTACTTGATCGTCCGGGCCTCCGGGTCCAGCTCCTTCGTACCGGATACCGTGCTGGTAAACTTCTTGTCGGGGTACTGGATGCGTGCGATCTGCGGGTTGAACGCGGAAGCTGTGAGCGCTCGGAGGAGCGTCATGCCGGACTTGCTCTGGCTCTGCGCTGCAGCATACCGGTTCGTCTCGACGATCCCAATCTCGGAAAGAGCCGAGTAATACTGGATCCGAGTAGCGGATATGTCATTCAGTGTGAGCCACGAAAGGAAGTTGTCTTCGCAGAAATTGCGCAGCTGGCGTTGCCCTACACCGTCACCTCTCATCTCATCCCATTGCTTGAAGGCCTCGAGGTCCGTAAGGAGATCGCCGTCGCCGTTCGAAAACCGCATGCGCGCATCCCTTGCTTGGTCTCGCTTGTCCGGAGGCGACATGAAGGGACTACGGGTGCTAAGAATGGCTGCAATGGTGACACAGTCATCCAAGCATCCGAAGATGGCACCGTAAACCATGAGCTTGGCGCATCGGAGATCGGCCGGGATCATGGCAAGCTGCTGTCCCAGGGCCGTCATCTCGTCGCCGTCCAACGCGCCCATCCGCCGCAGCAACTTGATGGCTCCGTCCACCGCCGTGCTGTCCGGCGGCGTGGGCGACTGGGAGAGGAACCCGGCTACGTTCCTTACTCCCATGGCCCGCACCGAAAGACACATCTGCTCCAGCGGCACCCGCCTGATTTCAGGATCAGGACGCTCGGCCATCTGCTGCTCGAGGTTTCTTGTGTAGAGCTTGTAGCATTTGCCTGCCTGGACTCTGCCAGCACGACCGCGTCGCTGCTTGCAGGCCGCCTGCGAGGCCCAGTTCTCCTCCAGCTTCCTCATGTTGTTCACAGGATCGTAGGTGGTCTCCTTCACCTTTCCACTATCAATAACGGCAACGATGTCATCAATCGTTATGGACGTTTCTGCCACGTTGGTAGCAACCACAATTTTCCTCTTGCCGCTGGGCGGATTGGAAAAGACGCGCTTCTGCTCTTTCGTCTCGAGCGAGGCATGAAGCGGAAGCACATGTAACGAATTGATCGGCCGAAGCGCGCCACATGCCCGGTTGATCTCTGCCACTCCAGGCAGAAAGATGAGAATACCGCCGGTTTTCTGCGAGTGGGAGAGATCCGCATCAATCTCTCTAACAGTCTCTGCAAGGAGGTCGTAGTTGATGCGGTGGCCCAGTTTCTGGATGGCCTTGCCCATCGCCTCACCTCGCCCGCCATCCGCGTCGCCCGCGTCACCCCTGAATCCCGTCATGCTGATGATATCGTCCAAGTAAAAGTCGTCAACAGGGTATGTCCTTCCGGCGATCTCTACCATACCAACGTCCAGGCCCTGAGAAGTGAAGTAGTAATTAAAAGATGCAGCATCCAGAGTAGCACTCATGAGCACCAATTTCAAAAGATTCTTTCTCTCCTTCATGACCTCTCTGACGATGGTGAGGAGAAAGTCCGTGTCCAAGCTACGCTCGTGGACCTCGTCAATGACAATGTGGCTGACATCAGCAAGCGATGCGGCAACATCTTCGATCCTTCCACCGGATGTTTGCAGCCTTCTGAGTAGCACACCAGTGGTCACAAATGTGATCTTCGTGTTGTTGCTTCGGCGGCTCTCGCCACGGATGGCGTAACCGATCTCGTCTCCGACCCTGGTGCATCGCTCCTCGGCCACACGGTCCGCCAAACCGAGTGCAGAGATTCTCCTGGGCTGTGTGACGAGCATGTTCACGCACTTGCCCAGACCCCTGTTGTACAAGTCGTCCAGGATGAACTGTACCGACTGCGTCGACTTTCCGGACCCGGTTTCTCCACTGATGATGGTGACGTGGTTGTGTTCGACGGTGTTAATGATCTTCTCTCGAACCTGCCATGCCGGCAACTGCTGGCGTTTCGACATCATCCTCTCCCAGGCGGGTTCCTCGGTTCTCCTCAGCCACTCGTCTCGTGTCCGAGAATCGGGTGTCCATGAGATGGGCTTCGGTAGCCTCTGTGTTTTGGCCGAGGGCCTCTGCGGCCGAGACTCGCTGGGGACCTCGGATGCCGTCGACGCTACCGCAGAGATGTCTGAAAGCTTCCCGGGCCGTTCGATGATGTCGTTGATGTTCTGCTGGATCCAATCGATGGCCACAAATACCTTCATGGGCTCTTCCCAATAGGAATCTTCCAGATAAGCAAGTGTTTGCTTGATGATGGAAAGCTTGATTTGCGCCGGAAGCGGTGCCACGACGGCGAAGATGAGCTGAGCGGGGTAGTTGGGCGTTTTGCGGACCTGGACTGCCGCAGCTACCGGCTTGCCCGCGTTCTTGACTTTCTCAAGCTGTACCTCGATGATGTCGGGAGAGGTCTGCTTGAAATGGTCGCCGAAAGAAGACTCCATTGCAGACACCTCATCGTCCCACAGTTCGTCAGCGGACGTTCCCGGCGGGAGGAGCTCCTCTACGGTGCTTCGCTGCGCGTCTGCCGACATCTGTCCCACGAGGCGTTGCTGGAGAAGCTCGGCCGCCCTACCTTCATCACCGCCGGCCTCTTCAAAAACTCGAGCACAAAGGTCGGGTGCGTAGCCTGACTCCGAGAGGCGCTTGATGGCACCCTCCTTTTTGAGATCCATCGACGCGACCGAGATTCCCGCGGCATAGCTCTCCGGCAAGGCCCAACGCGGCAGGTCGTCCTCTGGCACGTGAATCAACAGCCACTCGAGCGTCTCCTCGCGATCCTTGCAAATCTCTGTAGCTTCCTCGACGTGGCTTCGCCGGAAACCCAGCTTGCTGAGCTCCTCGGTTATGGCCTTCTTTTGCCCTGCCGGCATCTGCACTTTGTTCGGGTTCCAAGTGACGTACTTTTGAATCAAGGCCTCGACCTGCGTCCGCGAACGCTTGCCCATTTCAATCTTTGGCGCCGTGGTCCAACCCTTCATGGCGTTGGACGCGCCCAGTCCAGCTGCCCCGGGCATAGACTTTGCCTTTTCCTTGGCCGCCTCGGCTTCCTTTCGCTTCTTCTCCGCAGATGCCTTGGAGTCCTGTCTCTCCTTGAGAGTCTTGAATGGGTCTGCATCGTACATCCACGCTTTCCCGTCCTTGACATCCTGCTTCTTAATTTCTTGAAAGTCCTTCCACATGGACTTGTAGTCTGGCGGCAGCACGGTGTGCTTGTTCTGCATGCTGCACACCCTAAAGAGGGCATACGTTGCTGCGGCATGTCGGGCCTCCAGGGCGGTGGGCCTCGTGAGCAAGTGCTTATAGTCCGGTGCGATCTTGAACGGGTCCAGGGTCATGAGTTCCTGAGTCTTCGGATCCTTTGCGCTTATGGTAATAAAGCAGGCATACCCCTCAGGAGTCTTGCGCATGTCATAGACAGGCTTTTCCCACTGCTGCTTCTGGCAATACTCGTTGAAGAGGTTCTGAGGCAGCTTCCCTGTCCACGACGACCCGCCAATGATCTGTTTGACGGTCGGCTTGTTGGCAGCTGGGCCGGCGGCCTGCTCCATGAGTGACAGACCAGCAGTCTTCTTGCCTTTGGCACCATCCTTGGACGATGATGCAGCGGGTTGGGCTGCTGGGGCTGCCGCTGCGGCCTTATCCTTTCCCTTGCCCTTCTTGGGGGGCGCCATGGCTTTTGGCTGTGCTTGGGAGTCGTTGGCTAAGGGCAAATCCGGGCCATGCAGACGTCGAGGACGTGATTGTATAGGCGAGTGAGTTGATACCACAGCGCCGAGAGAGGTCGTTGAGATGGATGCCACTGAAGCTCCCGGGGAAATTTTATTCGCCCGTAGAATTCCCACGTTGGTGGTCGTTAGTGTCGCGGCGCCCACTCTGTTCGGGTGTCAGCGGTCTTGCAGAAGGGGTTTTGCAGTGGGCACCCAGGGCGAGTGGCAAGGCGACGGTACTACTTAAGTCGTGGATAGCATGGCCGGGGCGCATTGTGGTTTCTGCAGCTACCCCGCTGTGGGTAAAAGGCCCCCTTGAAGCTTCCCCCGTGTCGCTGGCACCTAGGTAGGTAGGAAGGAGGGGAAAAAAGCCCCCGTGGGTCAAGACAAGCTTCCCGACGTGCGTCACGAACTACCACAGCAATCGCCTCCCATCGACCTAAATATCCAAGTTTATTATGGGAGACTAGAGCCACAGCCGACATGATATGCGCAGCCGGCTCTCCTGACATCGACAACGCCTGCGTCTTCCAGCAACCCAACAGTAGCGATGGCACAAGAAGACTCTGACCAAGAGGATGCCATCACCCAGGACGAGATCCAAGGGACCGCTCCAACGCCTCTTGCCCCGCGAAACGCTTGTAAGTGTATTCCGGGCCCAGATCCGTGCGGAGCACGCGTTCTAATCCATGCGCCTCCAAGTCGCAGAGCTCATGACCCGAAAGCGCAAGCCCGAACCCGGCCCCGCACCGTCCAAGTCCTCCCGCAACAAGCCCTCCCGAAGCCGCGACGGCCTCGGCGCATACATCGAGAACCCGTCTTCCTTCCCCGCCTCGCGTGTCATATACCACAATGACGACTTCGTCGCCATCAACGACCTCTACCCCAAGTCCAGCGTACACACGCTGCTGCTGCCTCGGTCTCCGAAGCATAACCTCCTTCACCCGTTTGAAGCGTTTGAGGACATCGATTTCCTCGCGTCGGTGCAGCAGGAGGTGCTGAAGCTCAAGGACCTCGTGGCCAAGGAGCTTCAGCGGCGGTTCGGCAAAGGGAGCAGGGCGGACGAGGCGCGGGAAGCCGTGCTGGACGGGCGTGTTGAACAGGAGGGCGGAGAGCTACCCAAGGGCCGTGACTGGCACGCCGAGATCATCACGGGGATACATGCGCATCCCAGCATGAACCACCTGCACGTCCATGTGCTCTCGCGGGACATGTACTCGGAGTGTTTGAAGCACCGCAAGCACTATAACTCCTTCAACACCCCGTTCCTGATCGACGTCGCCGACTTTCCACTGGCGGCCGAAGACCCCAGGCGCCACCCTGCGCGCGAGGGGTATCTCATGAAGAGGGATCTCGTTTGCTGGAAATGCAAAGAGAACTTTGGGAATCAGTTTGCGAAGCTCAAAGAGCACCTGACGGTTGAGTTTGTCCATTGGAAAGGGGAATAACAATCAATATTCGAGGCGCAACGGTCTGGTTCCTGGGAGGTAGCCAGAGATAATACGACGCATGCAACACCTAGAACAATATGGCTATGTGCAAAGTCCATGTTTCGCATGAAGACAGCGCAAGCAGACAAGGTTGAGAATATTAGTCTTGTATTCAGGAAAAGGAAAAGAAAAAAATCATGGTAAATTAAGGACGACCGAAGCGTTGTGTGTCTGCCGGACTGCTGGCTGGATCTTGGACGACATGATCGTCGCCGACGCCAACATCTTTTAATGAGCCGTTGCGGAAGCGAGACCCCAGCGCTTTCATGTAGTAAACCTTTTGTGTTTTCAACGAAATATCCGTCATGCCCGAATACCAAGACCCCACCCATCACACATGATGTAGTAGCAAATATTTCCTTCTTTCGTTTGTCGCGTTTACTGTTGATAAGAAGGGAATCGCGGTCAGCCGAACAATCCTCGCATCACTTTCGCGGGAAACCAGCGACGAACCTCTTCGGTGGAGTCGGCGGCGTCAGAGGGCGACTTCGCGACATCTTTCAAGGCCAGGTCTTAACAAGTTCAGTAAGCGCTCTTTCAGCCTTTGTGACAGCCAAACAACGACGCCAGGCTGTAGGAGCAGGGGTGCGCTAACCTTCCTCTTCAGAGGCGGATGAGGAATCAGAGGGAGAGGACTCCTTCGTCGAGACATCGCTCTTCCTCCCCTTGCTCTTCTTGGCTGACGCTGTAGTGGGCGTAGGCGCGGCGGTGGACGCGTCTGATTTGCGAGGGCGACCGCGGGGGCGACCGGTGGATTTGGCAGGCGTACTCTTCTTGGGCGTAACAGTCGAGGCAGTCGCATCGGCGACGTCGCTCTTTCTGGGTCGGCCGCGTCCTCTGCCGGTGCCGGCGCTGGGCTTGGGGGCGACAGCCTTTTTCACGCCTCCGCTACCTTTGGGACGGCCACGAGGGCGTCCCGTGGGAACGTAAGCGGCCTTCTTTTGACCATCGGCTTTGGGGGGTCTGCCGCGACCGCGTTTCTTGGGTTCCTCTTCGGGAGTGGTTGGCGCCATTGTCGTCGGTGTGGTTATGTGTGGAGGGAGCGCGTAAAATAATCAAAGATATTCAAGAGAATGAAGAGGAACACTTTCAAGCTAACTTTTCTATTCCAGTACTGCCGAGAAAGCAGCAATGGTGTTTTGGGGTGAATAGGGAGATCGGGGTCGCAGGAGAGAAGGACAAGACAAGGCAGAGAGATGGGACACCAAACCGGTGGAATTAAGGTAGGTGCAATGTGTTTAGCGCAGAAAACCCGTGGCAGGAAAGCGCGTTTGCGCGTTATTGTGGTGGTCTGCACCAGGGGAAGCTTCGCGTCGGGCAGGGGGGGGGGAGGGGGGGGCGGAGCTGCCCATTGCTTCTGGAGAGCTCACCCATTCATTCTGTGGCTAGCCAGTTATGTCAGCTTGTTCCAATTGCTGTCGCTAAGAAACAACAGCAATTCCCTGCTGTCTCTTCAAGTTTCTTGGGCTAGTACGGATAGCAGCAGTCTTCACGTTACGGAATTTTGATTGAGCAGAGCATCCTAGTGTGATACGGCACTTACCGTGTTCATTGCTGAATTGCTGATACTGCCATTCATGCAAGGAGGAGCAGGTCAGATCAACTCCGTGAAACATGGATACACAATGCACATCAGACCATTGTATCAGTGCTGCTTGCTTTTCCCCCCAACGATCGAACCCAATTCTTTTCTTCTTTCCGCCTCTCCCATCCTGCCTAATGTACAAGTCAATTGGTAGAGCTCTAGGGTGGGGGACCGCACATGAACAACATAGCGAATATCGTGGAGTATCAACTGGCGAGTGGCGTTGATGAATCTCTCGCGAACAACCAAGTTCACATGGAGAAGATCTTCGCCAAAACCTAGATAACAGCAAAGTCCCTGTGGCTTTTAGAGCAATTGTTTGGCATCGGCTTCATGCCTTGTATGCAAGTATTGTACACTACTTTTGTAATCCGGACCCCCCAAGAATTAACCGTACACATCCCGCAAGCTTTCTTAATGCTCGCCTAGTGCTCTCAAGTTGCCAATTTGTACCCGTGTGGGCGCGTTTTGTCTACGCGCGCCTAGTACGTTGTGTGGTTCGCCTCGTAATGGTGCTGTCATCCTACTCGGCACTCTTCCTGAGCTTGCCACTGGCACCGCTCTTGACGCGCTTGGCGACGGGGCGGTTAATGTGGTGATCAGGGATCCAGCTCTCATCGTAGCCCTTGCCCGTGGAGGTGGCCTCGCCAGTAGCATCAGAGTCGGCCAGAGGCACAGTGACACTAACGGTGCGCGCCTTCTTGGAGGACTTGGCCTTCTTGGCCTGGGGGAACAGGGCCTCGATCCACGTCTTGTAGACGAAGTAGAGAGTGCCAGCAAAGACACCAGAGAGAAAGAGGTAGAGGAAGATACTAAGAGCATTGTCAGTCCGTCTATCACGTGGTCGTTTCGGGGCGGTGCATGGGCGTCTCAACATACATCTGGGGGTCGAAGATGCTGGTGGGAGGCTCGACAATAGAGGCCGTGGAGTTGTATGCCTGGACCTGGAAGGCGTCGCCCTTGGCATTGCTGACAACAGCGATAAGCTGAAGCAGAACATCCTGTGGGTTGGCGTCAAGGGCGAAGGAGTAGGGGACAGTCTTCTTATCGCCAGCCTCGATGGTCAAGTCGTAACGCGCAGCAGTCAGGTTGCGGATAATGTTGTCGCTAGGAAGAGCATCCTCGGCAAGCTCCTTGGTGCTGGACAAGGTGCCACCAACCATGGCAACCTGAATCGGCGCATCCTCATTGTTTGTGAACTCGATGAAGGCCTTTGTGGGGTGGCCGTTGACGATCTTGAGACCAAAAATGTCGGCGTCAGGAAAGGTAGTCTCGATGTCGGCCTTGAGAGTCGGCGCAGTAGCACCGGCGTCAACCTGCTGCGGGTCAGAATCCCATTGACACAGAGCTCCGTGTATTGTGGACAGCACTTACTGGAGCCTCCGCGGCCGCGAACGCGCCACAGAGGGGGAGGGCCAGCAGAGCCAGGAGCGAAGACTTGAGATAAACCATTATAGCGGCGACGGGAAGATGGGATCGAGTGCGACGTGACCAATTCAGCAATCGCAGCCAATGGATGGAAGGGAAAGGGGGGAGAGAGGATGAAGGGGACACAGAGTCGAGTGTGGGAGAGGAGATGGAGATGGGGATCAAGGAGGAGGGGAGGGCTGATCCAATCCGATTCAGATCGTCTCTCTGCTAAGGTGTCAGGTTTGGACGCAGGAGGCAACGGAAAAACAAAGTGTGCGTGGGCGATTCAGCAACGGGAGGCAGAATAGGTGCGAATCAGCAATGTGGCCTCACAGCAATTGATCCACTGGAGAGCGAAGCAAAGGGGACCTGTCCAGGCCAGGCACATCTCGGCTCCGAAGAGGAGCTGTGGGCCAATAAGAGGGCCGGTGACCCATGGCGTCAGTGCCCCATGGAGAATCAGCCACCTGAACCAGGCATGGATGTGGAGCTTGCAGAGCTGCTGACAGCTTCGAGGTCAGTCCGGGAGGAGCTTCGTCCGATAACATGCGTCAACTCAATAGGCACGAGAAACAGCTTTGAGTTTGGATCAACGATCTTCAGGAGCAAAAACACTTCGTCTGACAACCAAGTAATGAGTGCTCAAGATATTATTCATTGCGTTCTTCCAACTACCGTGACGCCGACATCGTCATCATGTCGGCTAATCCTCTAGCCGAACTGTAACAATACATAGTAAATGCAAATCTCTTTGCAAAAGAAGAACTATAACTCATACACAAGCAATGCCTTGTCCTAAACCGCCCACGCCCTCAGGCACTTAATCCTAGTCTGTGCCTGTTCTTCTATGCCACAACCGTCCACATATTGCACTTGCTTTTGGTTTGGGTTCTGGTATGTTGCTCCCGAAAGCCACGTTCCTTGCCTGTATGCCTCGCCTTGCCCGCTAGGCCATCCTCCAACGCCGAAAATGCTGGCCGCGCAAAAAGAAGAAGTGAAAAAAAAAAAAAAAGACGAAGAAAAAAGACAAATCGACGGGGGCCAACCAAAATGAAAATGAAAGGCTGGATAGAAAACCAGTCATGGTATCATCAAGTCGTCCAGTGTCGTCAACGGACCGCCGGGACGGTCCAAAACATTGCTCAAGAAAGTGTTGCAAGCCATTAATTAGTCAGTCGTTGCATCCGTAGGCTGGCCTGTTTGCCCGCCCGTACTTGCGATCGTCGTATTATAACAGCTGCCCAAGTGAAACTTGACGTCACAGCCAATCATCTCTAGGAAAGGAGAACTGGCGTCGCATCGAGCCGGGCACCGTGTTGGCGCATATTTGCGAAGTCTCCTGCATGGTGCGCAGCCGTTGGTCGAGCACGATTGTCCCACTAGCCCTGGAGCTCGACCATCGCCTTGACATGGTGAGGCTGGTTGATGTTGCCATCAAGCTCGCCAAAGTCGAGGGCGGAGGCCCGGCCGGTGGAGTGGCGGTACGGAAGTGTGAAGCCCTTGCTGATTTCGGTTTGGACATACTCGGCAGCGCGCTTGTACCGCTTGTCCGAGTACTTTTCGAAGACGGCAAGATGATGCTTGCGCGGGGAGTGGCAGCACTCGAGGATCATGGTAACCAGGTTCCTTAGCTGGCCCCATGTGTATCCAGAGTAATGGACATGCGCAGGAGTCTAGATTGTGTTAGCACTGCGTCGGAACACGGACAAGGCAACAGGCTTACCCAGTCTCCCTTCTTCAGGATCAGGCGAGACAAGCAGTGCGCAGCTGCGGCAAGGAAGCTGGGCGGGCTTGCAACGAAACGCTCATCCATGATGGTCACCTCCAGGAAATACTTTGCCAACGTGCGCGTCTCGAGATCATAATCGTCCGCCTTGCTGACGCGGCGCAGGAAGCTCATCGGTCCAGGGAAACCCAGCTCGAAGCTCAACATGCTGAGCATGAACCGCTCCGCCTTGAGGATCTCGTCCACCTTGTAGCCATTGTCCACCATGAAAACGATCTCCTGCAACGATGGGCAGTTGATCTCTTCGTACTTGGAGGCTACGAGCAATGCGGTAGCACCAACAAGCTGGAGCTTTCCAATCGACACAACCTTGTATGAAAGAAAGCGATCGATGTAGTTGACCGTCAGGAACAGGGTCTCTGGCAGCAGACCGAATCGGTGATGGACCTGAACAAGCCAATCCATCAAGACGGAGCGCATGGACCACTGTATCTCGGCCTGGTGGTCCATGTAGTGAGGATCGGGCAACATTCTCATCTGAACGCGTTTCGGTTAGCTTGGCCTTTGCTGCGCGGGTTTCTGGGCAAACAAACCTCGAGCTCCCTCATGTACTCGAAAATATCTTCTCCGTACTCTGCAACCATGCAGACATCCCAGACCTCGTCGTCGACCTCCTCTTGGGTACGGGTACTCTCGACAATGGCACGGGCGGTCTCCAACTCTTGCTCGACCTTGTCGGTAATCTTAGGCGCGAGCACAGTGGTTGCGCCGCCAGTGGTGAGATCGCCTCGGGACCGGTATGAGTGAGCAGTCGTGTATCCCGGGTCGTCGTAAAGCTCCTCCTCTTCTTCCTCGTCCCAGTATTCCTCTGGCTCAGACATGGTTGGAGCACCCACTGATTCCGCAAGCTGCTCCATAGCTTGCTTCTCGGCATTTCCTTCAGGGAGGGCAATGGCCTTCTGCAGGTCATTGTCTTCGTCTGCCAAGTCCAGTGAGCGTCTGTGATAAGGACCGTTGTACTGCTCGTCACCAATGTGCTCGACAGCGTCCTCGTAGGCGGCTTCCGTCACATCATCCATCGGCTTCCACGTCTCGGCGGCAGTGGCCGAGTTTGTCGGTACAGTGGACAACTTGCTTTGCGTACGTCGCAGAACATGCGCTGCAGGCTCCTTCTTAAGCTGAGGCTGAGACTTGTGATGGCGAGGTTGCTTGCTCGAGGCCGCGGGCACAACTGGATCCTGAGCAACGTATTTACTCTTGGACGGGCGAGACTCATAAAGCTGAGCCGTGGATGCTCTCTTTGCAACCTGCTTGTTCTGCGTCACCGTCGTCTGTGAATCATTGCGGACCGAGGTTCTCGGCTGCTTCCATTCTGTGGTCACAGGTCCATTCTTGCCGCTCAGCGCTGGAACCCGCTGAGCAGGTCGTGAGAAGCCATCCTTGCCGTTTACGGCGTTCTCCTTGTTGTAGGCAAAGTCTGCGGCGCCCTTGCCCTTGTTAGGCAGCTGGTCGGTAGGCAGAGCAGCGAGATTTTTTGTCACGTTGCTGACATCGCCGAATGCGGTCCGTTTAGCAGCGGCCTGCAGACCACCGCCGTTGCGAGACATGATGTTGCCTGTTGACTTGTGTTGCTGATGAAGGGAATCGTGCTTCGAAGGGATGGCATTCTCGTTGCCACCGATGTGGACTTTGAGACGCTGGGGCTGTTTGTGGGACGTCAGTCAAGAGATCAGAGGAGTCGCGCCATTTAGGCTAGAGAGCTGGGCGCAGCCGTTGCGAGGGAGGCGGGATGTAGGCATTGCAATGACTTACTCTAGCGTCCATGGCGACTGCTGCTGGCCTTGCGATAGCTGGCACTGCTGCGTGGGTCTGCTTGCAAAGGCGATCTCGCAGGGCAATGAAAAATTATGAAGGCGCGGTGAATGAAGATGTGTAGGAGTGAATAATGGCGCGTCGGGATAGCATGTAAAGACCGGTGGTTCCCTGGATTATCCTGTGTTGTGTTGTGTTGTGTTGTGTTGTGTTGTGAAAGGCCGTCTGGTCCCCAATTGCTGCCGTTCAGGCTCGGGCACGGTTGATCGGAGGAGGGAAGGGATGGACGAGGAACGGGAGATTGCGATGGTAGGGATATAAAAGAAGGGAAAGGCCGGTTTATCTCTGGGATTGGCAGAGGACAAGAACCGGTACCAGGCTGCCTCGACAACGAGCCAGAGGGTAGGGAAAGGGGGTTGCGGGTAGAGGGCCAGAAAACAGCTCTTGGATAGGAAGGAAAAAAAGGTCTCAGCCGAAAAAGCTGCTGTTTGGTGGTGGTGGTGGTGGTGGTGGTGACTGCCGCAGCGGTGCGGAGGGCGGGTTATGACCAAAAACGGCCTGGTCAAGTTGGAGCGACCCAGGATCAGAAATGTGAAGCTGTTTGTTTTCCAGCCATAGTATGTAAACAATGCGGGCCGGAATACGTGGGGACGTACCGTAAAACGCGCCACCAACGCGCCACGGGATTGGTCAGATCCAGTGGAGCTCTTGTTGTCCGGTTAATGGGCGGAGATAAGCCACATCAAGCATCATCACCACAGAGCGAGGACCAGGTGATATCACTTTTCTCCCAACAGAGTGGGTGGTCTAGCTGGTCTCCGATTCAATGTTTTGGGCTGCCCATGTCTCTGCGCAACGACGCGCATGAGCGAATCCGGGGAAGTTTGATTAAGCAACGTGCTGCGAAAGCAAGGCATGAGTATTCGGTCAGTCAGCGTTTCACTGATATCATCCTGCCCTGGACAACCACAAGTCAGTTGTTATTGTTGTTGTTGTTGCCTTTCATTGTTTGCGTCAGATATCTCTCGCTTGGCTTCCAGTCCTACGATAATAGAACATCCAGCAAAATACGATCTAAACATTTCAATCCCCTTACCACCCCTTTGTTTTTCTCCGACTCATCTTTGTTAACGGCTTTCTTTCCAGTCCCTCTTTGTCAATCGTGCTGACAATCTCCGGGACGTTGTCCAGTAGCTTGTTTCTGCTCCCTTCCCGCTCGGGGGAACAAAGACAGCCAGTCTACGTTGACCTCTAGAGACGTCGGGCGACTCGTGGATAGAACGCCATAGCGCCGCAGGACAAAAGAGATTCAACTGGCGTTGTCTCCGTGTCGTGTGGCCAAGTCTCTGCAAGTCAAGCCTCCCCCTGGTGTCATTATCACCTCTTTCAGCTCTGGTCTCCTTTTCCTATGAGGACAAGTCCGAAACACACACACATCGTAATAGCCGTTCCACCGTTTCTCGCTACAGCATCCAGATTTGACCACCGTATTGCATTCGCCAACTGGCCCCGCGAACTGCTCTCTGATCATCATTCTTGCGAACGTTTTTTTGCCAAGGCTTCCGAGCTCTGCGTAGTATCCGTATATGATGCTTAGCTGCCCCATGTCCAGGCGTTTATTTTAGCCATGGTAATGAATTTTTGGCTCTTTATGCAAATCATCAACTGGTGACAGTGGCGACTGCGAAACATGACTGAAAGAACGCAGCGCTTAAGTTTTCCGCAACGTCACACTTCCTTTGCTTGATGCACTCACGATGCGTCTCACCTACTCTCGAGCGTATGCCACCAGAAGAATATCCCGAGTCGATGTCATGGCTTGTTTCGCCCATGTCCATTCAAGCAGGTACGCTTGACCTAAAGGTACTGGTGGTCGCTTCACCTTCACCGAGAGCGTCGTGGATGAGCTTAGATGCACCCACGCAGTTGTACTCAGCGATGCATATTGTATTCCGTTAGGCCCTCGAGCTTCGTCTCGATATGCCAGACGAATGTTCGCAAGACCATCGCAACCCAGTTGTCCTCTGCGAAGGTCCCGTTTGTGCTGCAAGATGGTCGCTGACAGGGAACACGACGTAACCACAACCACATTGTTCCAAATAATTACTGTAGGCTTTTATCAACACGTCCTCCACTATTCATCAAATTGCTTTGTGCCGTCAAGGACAGTATTTTACGGTTCATGGCAGGCAATCGGCACCAGCCTTCTCAGTTACCGCTTCATGGTGAAGGCGTCGGGTTCTTCCCGAGAATTGAACCGAGAAAAATCGAGCTTTGCCCCAGCTGGAAAAATCTCCAAACTCCTTTTACTTGTATCGGCATGATTAGAACAGGTCCCCGAGATCACTTCCGCTCCCGCCTGGACGTCGCACGTGACGAGGAAATCGGGGGTTTGACCAGATGCCCCACTTTCTACGAGGTACTTGCCGGGGAGGAGGTAATTACCTAGGTATGTAGGGACGCATTGGCTTCCGCACCACAGATGTCGCACATCTTGACCGCCTCGATCCTCAATGATGTACATAATAGCGTTTAGGAAGTGTCTTCGTCAGCTCGGTGCCAAAATCACATGTTACCCACGAAGCTCAGTATGCGAATTGGTGATGGTGCTCGCGGCTTTCGGGGTTGGCGCGTGTAGCTCCGGATCGGAGCACCACATTTTCCTCACGCCGGAGAATGCTTGGTAGGGGTTTGCCTGCAAACGCCGAGGGCAGCGCGACTCGGCTGGGAAATGAAAGTGTGGCCGAGGGGTATTCCTACACACACACGTAGAAAACCAATTAGCAATGAGTGCGTGCATTAACTCTCGGCCAATGCATAGAGGCCAATATATGAGGAAAAGGGGGCCGCGCTGCACAGTCGATCGAAGACCCCAAATACCGGATTGTAAAGATTGCGCCGCAAAAGCGGGCAAGCAAGCGTGCCAGCCGATAGCGACGATGGGGGGCGGCGTCGGATGATCCTCGGCATGCATGCATGCACTCGGTTCGTCATGGTGGACGAGGCTGCCCTGTGGGGCACTAGTCCATAAATGGAAAATGATTTTGGCCTTGGTTCCTTCGTCGCGTCTCCCAAAAGACGACCAAATGACAGCGCTCCATGCCACCACCGACAAAACATATCGAGACCCGACGAGACACCATTTGAAAGAAGCAGAAAAGCCTTGCGAAACAAAATGTCAGCTTCAAGCCTCAGAATTGACCCCAAAGCTCCGCAATCTGCTAACCAACCAAGAAAGGCCGAGGCCAACCAACGCGCCGCTGGCGACTCGCCAACCTATCGCGAAGTCACGTGGTGACATCGTCACAGCATCTCCGCTGCACTGCCGGCGGAGCCCGGAGGTACCCTTCGTCCCTCCAGGCACAGGCATCGCATCGTAGCATTGCGACTCAGCGAAAAAAAGAGTTTCCGTGTACCCGGACGCTCTCTCGGCGTTGGCTGTGCACTGTATTCTTTTTTGCCGACACCGATGTCCTCCAGTGGCGGCGATTGCGACGGAGTTGGACGTACGCGCCTGGCCCAACAGCATGCGACCAGCATAGGTAGACCCATGCTGCAGACCAGCGGTTCTGGCCAGTCGCATGAGCGCAACGCGATGCGCCTGAAGCATCTGCTTTGTTTATTTTGATGATGAGATAGATTGCGACTCGCTCAACGTCGGGGGAGATACATATCTCGAATGGCGTGACGGCGGGCGAACGAGGGGTCCGGTCCGCCAGGGTCCGGCTGGGTTGTGCGCAAACATTTTAATATTTCTGCATGATGAGCACAGCATCTAGGTATCTCCCTTCCCACCCCCCCTATCCATCGCCCGCCACGCAAGCTGCGCGCTGCGCTAGATGGGACGACCAAATGCCCCTAGGTACAAGATCGCAGAAGACACCTAGGACAGCGGCTGGGCGGCCAGCGCGGCAATCTGACTGGCTTCGGCGCATTCCCTCTCTGCCTCCAGCATGCACTCGATGGCAGTTTTTGTCTATTTATTGCAAAGGCGCACAGGCGCACCGCAGCAGCAGCAGCAGCAGCAGCAGCAGCAGCATCACCCCACTCTCAACTTTGCGACGTCAAGTCGAGGAAGCGGCCACACGGCTTAGCTGCCGCATGCCAAAAGTTGGTAGCACATTGTTGTCGATTGTCAAGCGTGGAAGGGTTTTGAAGAGAGCGGGTGATTCGGTATGAATGCTTCCAGGGCTTAGCATATATGCGACGGCTTCGAACGTGGCCCCTGCAAGCTGTCGCAGACTCCAAGCACAAAACAGTGGGGACACCGGCAGTGCAAAACCAGAATACGCACACGGTGCGCCGACTGCCCTGGAGGACCCTACGTCGTCGCAACTTTCTTTTGCATTGTGCCGCGGACAGCAGCGACCACGGGAAGGAGAGTGTGCCTCCTGCTCGCGCGCGTGCGTGCGTGCGTGCGATTGCAATCTATCCGAGCAGGCGAAATTCGTATGGCTCCGCATGGCGCTCTTCGTGGCATCAAAGATTGGCATTGAAGGACGGTGAGAGAGGGGCAGACGGGCGTGGCGTGGCAAAAGCGACCCCAGCAATGCGAAAAGGTATCGGTCGAGTGTGACACACCACCAGGGTTGCAGAATTTGACTGATGCCGCCTCCGCACTCTCTACACTACCTACCTACCTGCCTGGGTACGGATACTGCTCCGCCAAATGCGTTGAAGCCAGAAATGCGCGGGAAAGTGCCGATCCTCCCGGCAGAATCCCGCGCAACACAGAAAGCTCCAGTCCCAACTCGGTCGCACCCGTTTGTGACCCAAAGGAGTGACCAGCAGCGACGCCTGCAGCTGGCAAACTAAAGAGCAAGCGCGAATCGAATACAAGTCAGTCATGTATTGCGTTATAAGCGGCGGCGGCGGCGGCGGCGGTGGTGGATGGATATGGCATCTGGATGAGGCCCACGAGCTAATCGGGTACGACGACTAGGCCGACACGCAGGTCGCGACTGATCCTACGAAAACCCATCTTCCTTCCCTTACGCCTTCGCCTCCTAATTGCCCGACAATGGAAAAGGGTCTTCTTTCTGACGGATATGATCTATTCCCAATTGTGCATCAAACCTCGACGTGGCAGTGGGGCCTCGAGCTGCGAGGTAACGCAAAACAAAGACCGACTGCAGCGTCCGGGCAAGATAGCTGACCCCTGCGAGGGGATCTGGAGACTGGGCACAAAGTCTCGCCAGGTGTGCACACCGTACTTTGAGTGCGCTTGTTCCTGAACTCCCCGATTGGCAAAGGAGGACTTGTTGGGGCCTGCATAACCAGTGCCAGTTCATCAATCGTGCTCCGCACTACACAATACACGCACATCCATGCTCGATCTCTCTCTCTCTTTCTCTCTCCAAAGGAGCGAAAGAGAGAGGTGGGGGGAGTGAAAGTCAAGAGGCAGGCAATGTCGATCCAACATGCCGACCCCACGCCATCCCATGTCGTCGCAAAGCGCGAGAGGAGAGCTGCCACTCCCGTCAGTGTTGTCCGTTGTCCGTATCTGTACCTTTCTGTCGAACATAGCGACTGAGGTGGAGATAGAGTACCTTGAATCAAGCGGCGACATCTGGGCCAACGCAGCAGATGAGCAAGAGGAACTGGGACGAATGCTACGGCCTCTTCCCTTTCCCTGGCCATGTTACATCGCATTCTCAATGATGATTCGACAACGGCATCGCATTTGAAACCCCAACCGGCGCATACAATATTGCCTCAAGGCGACATACGGCGCGAAACACCATCGACCGGCCTGTCTATCTAATAAGCTCGTCGCCTGCGGATCGAGCATCTCACTGCCGTATGTGCCTTGCTGCTAGGCGCATGAGGGAATCCTCGTGCGCAAACCACTTCCGTGCGAAGGCACGCGCCGAAGACGCGGTTTGCACAACGAGGCCCAGGCAGCAAATGGTCTCGCCTAACAGTAATCGTGGCGTTACGATCACTGGGCGAGTCCAACAACAGCTGCCCACCTCAAACTTTGCCTTTGCTTTCCGGAGTCGTCTGCCACGGTGGGTGGAACCCAGCATTGGACAACCCAGCCCAGATACCTAGCGGTTTGAAACGAGAGCGTCCGGGGCTGGTGGGACCGACAGAACTGAGGTCGACGTCGACACCACAACATGCGGACGAGCCTTCGGGAGCTTGATGAGCGGTTGTCAGTTGAAACCAGCCAGACCGAGCAGACCGGCGCTGGCGTTCGTCAATGTTGGCAGCCGCTTAGCCAATGTTCCGCCTTGTCTCGTGTATCAAGCCAGCTGCGCTTCGACCGTCATCGTCGGTCGCGCCCTATCCCGTCTTTTTGGCCCCCCTCCTTCCCCTGCCGTGCGAGACTTGTGGCGCCTCGAGTTGGTCCGAAGGATGGTGCCATTGGTCCACTGACCATGTGGCTTGCGACTCTCTTCCCTTGGTGTTGCAGTCCCTACTGTATACGTACCGTACACTTACAGTGCATCTATCCGTACCGCCGAACAATATCTCGATCCGGACTTGCAACCGCATCAAGCACCTACCTACTTCCGCCTTTGATCGCTGTCGAAGGATAGAAGCACATAGCTGTCTCGCGCGGCGAAACTCACGTTACCGCGGGAAGCAAGCACGAGCAAGCCCACGAACGGTTCATAAGGAGGAGGAGGAGGAGGAGGGGTGCCCCGGGGGGGGAGGTGAGGTCCAATGGTCGGTCGCAGATCATTGCACCTAATAAGACTACATTCTCCGCTTGACAAGCTGCCGCTGGTCGGTCGCGGATATCATAGCACCAAAGGCCTAATGCGCCCATGGCGTTTGCTAAAGAGCTGGCACACCGTGATTCCGGCTCTTATTTCCCTAGAACTGGAAGGCAATGTGCGGTTGTTCCCCTCCTCAGTCGAGATATAAAATAAAAATAAAGATAAAATAAAAAACGGCCCCAATGGGTTTGAGGGAGGCGGGTTGGCGTCCAGACGCTAGCACACGCCATACCGGACCTGCAGAGCTGGCGCCGTGTCGTTAGAGTGGGGGATCGAGTTGGTGGTGTGCCATCCAGGTAGGTCAGCAAGACGAAGCACGAGAGAAGGAACCCAGGGGGGGGGGGGAGGCTTCCGCGCATTATATATCCGGGTCCGATGCAACCTGGAGACGGTGAAAACAAGATGAATTCTGCAAAAGTGTGCCATCGCGGTCCTCGAACTGTCAAGTGACGATGGCCAGTGCCTGGCTGGCGTGCGACGAGGCACAGAACTGCAGCCAATGTCTCGAAAGCCGTACAGGGAGCATCCGATGCAGGCCCCATAAGCGCAGGGGTTGTTGCGGCGCATCGCCGCGAATGCAGTCGAAGGGAGTTGGTTGATAGCAGGGTAAGCGTCCCTCTCTCTGTCTCTCTCTCTCTCTCTCTCTCTCTCTCTGCCATCGAGATGGACCATTCGAACCCGGGTTTCCGTTATAAAGTGCACCCTTGACGTTTCCTTTCTTTTTGGGGGAGGGGTCTGCGCGTAGGGTGGGATGGATCTTGCCATGGGGGGGGAGGCGTGGACGTGGGGATACTTACGTATCTGCAGGCACTGTAAGTTCCAACTTTGCGGGTGTACAGACAGAAGCAGAGCGAGTCGCAATCGGGTACGACGTTGCGGTCGTGTCCCTAGGACAGGCGCCGGATGTGATCATGGGGCATTCGAAGCAGAACAGCGGCCTTTGTATACACATTTGAAGGTGAGGGATAATCAGAAGGAGTAAAGACTAAGAAGCCATACGCGGCCGCTATTCGTACGAGTGTGCGGGTGCCCCGCGGAAGTATGCGCATGTCCATCAAACCCAACGGTGAACTGGCAAGGCCGGTTCCGTCCCGTCTGGATCGCATTGGATACACGAACTGTCCTGGTACACTACTCTGTAGAGGGTCCGCGCCCACGGACCCAGGATTGACGAGGTTTCGACGGGCTCAGACCGTACAGGGATGGCTGGGCGAATGGGAGGAGAAGGTTGAGAGGGAGGGGGGTGGCAGCGCAGAGGAAACAGGTCAGGTTGTGTCTACACGATAGATGGATGGATGGCGGTGACGATGAATAAGGTGAGGGTGGGAGGAAACCCGCGTACGAAGCTTTCGTCTTGTTTGCTCGCGGGGGGGGGAGGGACGGGGAGCAGCTCGGAGGAGCCTGAGTGTGGCCGCGAGTCGTCCGGTATCTCGGGTATGCTTGCGTGTATATGCTGGGTACGTGTGCGGGTGCGCTGCCTTATCTGACGACCCGGGTCTGGCCTTATTCAGTCAGTCGGGCAAGTCTCGGGTTGCGCCGACACGAGGCATCAAACTCAAGTGGCTATTGGTGAATCGGGAGGGGAGGATGTAATGAGGTGTGGTGAGGTGAGAGACAAACAAGACGGACAGGGAGCGCACGGCGTGTTCCTTGCACATTGATGGGGGGAAGTAGGAGGAGGGCGCTTCTTCGTCATCCGTACGAACTGAGCTGGAAAGTGTGTTTGGTTTTGCGCGCGCGCGCGCGCATGTGTGGGTGTGGGTGTGGGTGTGGTTGAGGGTGTGGTATTCGGGCGAAAGAGAAAGATATCCCATGTATCTTGTGCCGTCGCGCACACGGAACACAAGCGCTCGATAACTGTTCATATATGTGTATCTGAAGTACGGTTATGTATCCCGCGCTTATGCCGTCATGTGTCTGGGTGTCTGACATGGAAATGAACAAGACGCACAAAAGGAAATGGAGCACGTCAGTTCCCCCCCTTCGAATCCTCCCTCATCCCCCCCCTGTTGGAAGCCGTGGATTCACGCCAGAGAATTGAGACTTCTAGAAGGGATGGCTCCCGGGGAGGAATGGTGGAAGGGGAGGAGAAGTAATTACAGTTCCGGTGCGAGAAAGGCCATCATGTCCGTAAATAGGCCACTTGACGAAATTTGATGCATCTAAACAGCCCGCCCGCCCAGCCGAGAGCTCAACTTTGACCGCCTTGGGGCTCCTCTCTCTTTCTCCTCTCCTCTCCAGTTTCTGTATTGCCAACCACCCCCGGTCTGGCAGGCCCATGTCCCAGGCCCGCCTAGAGAAGCTTGTGGTTTGTGGTGTAGGTATGTGGCGAGTATGAGTGTGAGTGTGTCGCGTCTTCGTCGCTCTTGATGTGCGCCGCGATGGGCGGTGATGGTGAGGCGCACGTCGCCCCCTCCTCCAAACTGGAGCTGCGCAAGCATGGATGACTTGGGCCCTGGACCGTCACCTTTGTCTGCCGTCGCGCAACGCAGGCTAGAGTCGCCGTCTTTGCCTCGAGGAGATGGAGATTTGGTTTCGCCATCAGGAAAACCCTCGATAACAATGACCCGAAGGTGCTGTCGGGCGGCAGAACAAATGCGCCTGGGACTTTGAGGTACCTTTTTCACATTTATTCTCAGACACACACACACACACACACACACACACACACACACACACGTTGGTGAGCTGGCGGCGGCCACCGCCCGGGGGAGAAATAGACGGGACAGGCGGGTCCAGAGGTGCCAGCCACTCACTCTGCGGTGAGGTGCGGCAAGTACTTAGCTGTCCAGGGGGATTACTGGCTGGAGCCCTGTGTTCTGGGGCGAGCTAGTGACCTGTAGGGACCTGGTGAGGTAAGATATGGGTTGAGGAGAAGGGGAAGTAAAAAGAGGAGGAAGAGAAAGAGGAGAGGAGACGGGACAAGAGAGTCTCGCCTGACCTGACGCAGGGTCGTCGAGGCCAGGAGAGAGAGAGAGACCGGGGGGGTGGACGTTTGTGAGCTACAGTGGCCTTGGGGGTTCTGCCAGGACAGTATCTTCGTGGCAGCAGCGCATGGAGCCCTGAAAGACGCTGAGTGTTATAGAAGACCTAGCTCCCTATTCTTACACAGTCATTCTCGCACTGTCGTCACCGACCAGAACCAAGTGGCCCGGCAGTTTGGGGAGGGGTCCTGGTCCATCCCTACTGGGCTGGCCGGCTGTCTGCACCTGCGCCTAGGGGTGCTGTTGGACCTGCCTACGTATAGGGGAGTCCTTCATCGAAGTGTGCTCCGTGCTAGTGAGCACAGCGCATACTGCTGATGCTGCTCTTCTGTCTTTCCATTGCCCGCTTAACCACACGAGAGTGGCCTGCTGCTGCTGCGACCGGGGGGCAGGCGCAAACTCGGAGAGAGAGTATGTATATGTGTGTGTTGTGTGTGTGTGTGTGTGTGTGTGTGTGTGTGTGTGTGTGTGTGACCAGACCAGACCCGGACCCGGACCCAGGCCCAACCAGACAGACCGGGGACTGAGAAACTGGAAACTGGCACTGGCACTGGCGGCACAAGCACTGGGGACGAAGTGCAACTGGAAACTGAACTGGACTGGACTGGACTGACCGACCGTAGACAAAATCGTAACCTCGTTCGCCAGCTCCTCTTTTTCCTCCTCATGCACACAAACCTGCGAATTGCCCAGCAGAAACCATCATTCAACACCACTGCCCTTCTTCCAGAGTAAGTCTTATCCATGCCTTTAGTCTTTGCGATCGAGGTTTCCTGTTCCTTTATACTCTCCCGCTGCACACGTCCGTCCCAGGCTGCGAGTTGCTTCCGCCGTCTCTGTTGAGGAGGGAAGGTTTGATGTCTGGTGCTTCGCTACGTCTGCCATCTGCTCCCCGACCCAGTCCCAGCTCAAACCTCGACTCTTCCTCCGTCTCCTCCTTCTTCTCTTCTCACACTCCATCGGCATCCGCAAGCCACTCGACTCGATCCTCGTCCGACATTCCCATGGCTAATCTCTCTCAGTCTATGCTCTAGAACCCAAATATCTTCCTTCCTTTCCTCCCCCCCCCCTCGTCTTCTCCGACCGTTCGCTCCGGCAGCGTCCTTGCTCAGATCTCCCCGTCTGGCGCTGACCGCACGACGACGACCCGGAGCGCTCAATACAACGTCTCCGCTTGGCATTCGAGCGGATTCGTAATTGCTTCTGCTGTAAACCCGCCTCCGGTTTCGGGTTGCTGGTCGTTGATCATCTTGTCGGGTCAGCCGCCTGCCGCCGCCGACTCAGGTTGGCATCCCAACCTTTCCGTGCCAAGTTGACGACCACCGCCCATTGCACAACGACCCATCCTCCATCAAACTCCCCCCCTCACCCCTTTCGTCCAACCATCCTTCCTCCCATCTCTCATCGATCCAATACCACAATCCAAAATGACGAGCATGTCGCCAGCAAGTGCCGTCGACGGCGGCTCTGCGGCCACCTCGAACCAAGGCAGCGTCTCGCCGCGGCAGACGGTGTCGCCAAAGAACGTCGCATTTGAACTCCTCTTTACCGAGTCGCCGCAGTATCGTGCGCGACTCCCTATGCGAGTCCAGATATACCCTCACGACACGACCGACTCCATTGTCACCACTGTCAAGAATTTCTATGGTCTCTACTCGGGCCCAACCGGCTCCAAGGGTGTCAGCTTTGAGGATGAGAATGGCATCACCCTCATCGCCAGATACGAGAACTTCCGCAACAACATGGTTGTCTACGTCAGAGTCATTGAGGAGCCCCCTTCTGCCTCCGGCCCCTTTGTGGCGCCCGCATATCACAACCCTCCTCTGAGCGCCCAGCCCTATTACGAAGGCAATGCCTACCCCCTGCAACCTCCCCCTCGCTTCGGCCAAGAAATCTCCAGACCTTCATCGAGCACATCTCGCCGGCGGAGCCCGTCCCCCAATGTTGGGCGCGGCCGGAGAAGCGGGTCCGCCAACACAAACCCCAAGAAGGGCCGGTCCCGCTCTTCCAAGAACCGGGACACTGCTGCCAATGGCCACGCCGATATCTACAGCGACAGCCTCAACGGCTACAGCAGTGGCGATGGGGCTCCCGGCTCCAGCTCCAGCAGGATGAAGGAGCAGATTGGCAACACCGAGATCAGCCTCGAAAACATTGTAGAGGGAGGTCGCCGCAAGCGAGCGAAATTCGAGAGTTCGGTAAGTTTGGTCGTCGCCACACATGCACCACTCCCGCCTCTCCTTGCCCGTCAGTTTTTCTTGTTTCTTCATGCTCATCCTATCCGATTCAGGAACTCCCCTTGTTTGCGCCTCCGCAGATGCCGGCTGCCACGTCGAACCCTTCCGTGTCTCCCGCTCGCCGCGCCGAGCCCCAGCGAGCCTCGCTGCCGTTCGTGCACCCCGGTCAGAACCCCTTCACGAACCCTCTACCTCTGCAATCCCCTCAGAGTCATAACAATGGATATGGACATGGTGGACACTACGCGACACCGTCCTCTGAGCGCCACGGGCGCAACAGCATCGGCTACGCCGGGCAAGGCGGCAACTTCGGCAGCATGAGTGGTATCCTTCCCACGCCGGACCCCACCGTTGGCAGCTGCATGTCCGAAGAGGATAAGGATGTGGCTATCCAGCTTATGCGTCTGGGTGAAATGTCCAACATCTCCCACGGTCGCACTTCGGCTTCCACGCTTGACGACACCTTCAGTGGCCGCGCCGACGCCGCATCCTCCACCGGTGCCACTAGCGACGGCGAGAGTGAGAGCGACGAGGAGGAGTCGGCCGCTCGGCGCCAAAAGCTGGATGCTGCTGGCGTCATGCGCAAGATCTATCAGACTACCGAGAGCCACTTCATTCCTCAGCCCAGCATCGAGGCCAATGCCGACGACGTCGAAGCTGAGAAAGGCAGCGACCATGTCGACCATGCCATCAACGGCGAGCGCAAGCCCGAGGCGCTCAAGAATAAGACCAATCTTCCCGACGCCAGGCCCAAGGCGCAACTCACCGGCTCCAAGCCCAAAGCTTCCAAGGTCAGCAAGGTCCCTCGGCCAACAGTCCCCAAGCTCAAGAAGGCCTCGGCCTCGGCCTCGGCCCCGGCCCCGGCTCCGGCCCCGGCCTCTACGAGCAATGGACCCATGTCGCCAGCTTCTCTGCCTCCGTCGCGCAAGCCCTCGGTTTCCTCCGCTGCGGCTGCCCCGGGCGCCAACGGCGAAGACGATCAGCTCGACCTGTCTGCCAAGCCTCGGTGCCAGCGGTGCCGCAAGAGTAAGAAGGGCTGCGACAGGCAGCGACCTTGTGGACGATGCCGCGACGCTGGGCTCTCCGCCGATCAGTGCATCAGCGAAGACGAGGGTAACGGCCGTAAGGGCAGATACGGCCGCCACATGGGAGTCCCCATCAAGAAGGAGGATATTGTCAACCCCACGCAGCCCATTCTTCTGCCAGCTGCGCCGATTGCCACGACGGCGGCAACGACCGATAAGAACAAGAAACGGAAGCGGTAGAGCGACAGGCCCGCAGTTCCAAGAGCGCATGTCGGCGCCCAAACAGGAACATGCGATTTGTTTGCCGGTCATGTGGCTATTTCTAGCATCGTCGTCGCAACGCTCCGCTACTGTCCCTACTACGAGAGGTTATCGGCTTACCGGCGTTCGGCAACGGTGATGTTTTTTTTTTTTTTTAAAAAAGAAAAAAGGGCGGGGCTACTGGGCCGCACGTTGTCGTACGGCGACGTGCTTCCTATCGTTACAAAACGGGAGGGGACGTCTGATCTGGTCTCTAACGACCACCCAACAATACTGGCAAGAGAGAAAACATTTGGCGATGGGGTTAATGGGGGGATCTGCCGGGTGAGGATGGTCGCTCACGCTCCTTTTTGGCGTTTTGGAACCTTTTTTCTTCTTGTTCTTTCCTTTACAGGGAGCGGTGTTTTTGCTATTTACTGGTTTGCGCGCGTGGTTTCGTTCTTCCTTGCTCGTTTCTTTCCCGATGGAGTCGGCATCAAAGCGAGGAAGTTACAGTTCTTGAGCGAAGTTGTGCGACTGTACGATGCGGCGGGCGGAGGAAGAGAGCAAAAGCGAGCAGCGATGTTGGAATACTTGCAGGCACTTGAGCATCTGCACGTTCTCATAAGCTCGCATGTGAGACGGCTGAAGTTCCTTATCAGTGGGAGGCGAAGGAAGAAAAGTATGGGAAGATCCTCGACGAGAGGACAGAAAAGGGACAAGAAAAACAACAACAGCGGTTCAAACATTGGCAGGCGAGACGGTTCCGGGGGCTCGCGCAAAACTCAAATTGTCCGTGATGGAAGGGTTGGATCGCTTGCCTGGGGGCGGGTAGTGATTTCCTGTACTGGCAAGGGAGATGATACTCCTTTGCGCGACTGGGCCTGCTCCTGTTTTCTTTGGTTCTTCTCTGGATGCCATTGGAGGCGAGAGAAGAGCAAGAGGAGAGCAGATGCGGCTACGATACGACCGGGGGGTTTTTTTTTCTTTTCGTTTTTTTGTTAGTGGCAACGTTTTCTATAGGGGAAGCCAAGAAAAAATAAACCACATTCATCATGTAAAGAAAGGTGCGCCGCGATGTTGCGCAATGCGACTGGTGTGATGCGACAGCTAGTAGATGGTCGTCCGAAGCGATGACATTGCATGCTATGGCGCGCGGAGCGAGGGGGCCAGAGCTACAGCGGTAGTCGTTGAAGGGTGGATGTGCGCTAAACCACTCTGGACACTAGTGCGCGGCTCTCGCCGTTGCATCCCGCTCCGGCTCGGGGAGGGGGGGGGGGGTGTGCGGCAAGGGGGGGTGAGCTGGGATGATGTGGCTGCACCTTCTGGCTGGTGCGTCGCTACCATTTTATCAACGGACCCTGCCTAGATCAGCCGCGCCTTGCCGGTGGCTGTGGGTACGACGGGAGCACAGCCGCACAGTGTGTGCGATGCGATAACGTGGGCCGTGCGTAGCGAGAAGCCCAAGCTCCGGGGGGGTTCCAGACCTGCGTGCGCGCCGGGAGTTGTTAAGCTTCCGGCGCGAGAGACGAGAGCTACCGGATTATTACGTCACCCGGGGGCTCTTCGAGGAAGAACCCCGCACCTCACGCGCGGTGGGAGCTCCCCCCTCCCCACCCCGCACCACTCAGGTTGCTTCTTCGCAAGAACAATTCGATTGTAATGTACGGGTTTGTGTATTTTGTGCTGCAAGTTGTAGAATGGAATGCGGATAACGTTCCGACGATTGAATGCACCGTGTGCATGAGCCCGTGCGTGGCTGCTCGACTTGTTTCCTTTCCATGTCCCTTTTTTTCCCCCCCACCCTCCCCTCTCCCCCCCGATCACTTGATGCGCATTGTGCTGTCATCCCTCTGTTGATGGAGGGTTTCGCGCGCTAAGAGGATTATGGAGGCGAACGGGTTACGGATTAGGTTTTGGATGGAGGCGGTGTGCAGAGAGGTGTTGGGCTGCTTGACTCGGAAGAGTGTTGCCGTGCGCGCGCGCGCGCGCATTGCTATCGGACTATGCGCGTCGTTGTTTATTTGTTTACAATTCGTGTTTCTTACTCGCCTTCTTGGTTCCTTTTTTTTTTTTTTTCTCTCTCTCTCTTTCCTACCTTCCCTTTAGGATCTGGGAAGAGGGGGGGGGAATGCAGTACAACGTTGGCGCAGGACGGCTTGGGATTGGAGGGTGGTTTTTTAGGCTTTTCGAAGGTGTTCAATGTGTTTCACTAGGTAGAGAAACCGTGTCGCAACGCCGCGGTCGCGAACCTTGAGGGTGGCGATTGCCGACCTGCCAATGGGCAGCGCAAGAAAGAAACGCGAGAAATGAGTGGTGCCTACTGTCCTGCGGTGGTTGCGGTTGTATTTTGGAAAGGGTTGCCCCTCCCACTGAGAGCGACTTCCGCTTCCCTTACATCCGCGGGGCAGCAGGGAGGGGTTGGGGGCGGGATGGGAAGGTCAGCTGGTGTCGAGGTTGCGCGGTGTGTGTGTGTGTGTGTGTGTGTTTTGTGAGGGTAATTTTGTTGACGACATTTGTTCGGGTCGGGCGGCGCGGCTGGCTGGCTTCTTTGGAGTGCGCCCGCCCTGTAATAGGCTAATGGGCGATCGGTAAGCCAGATTAGTAGAGGTCGGAGGTCGCGATGCGATACGATGCGGCGATCCTGTCCAGTTGACGAGTTCCGCGTCGGGTACACATGTAATGGTTCCCTCCGTCACAGATCACGGGCTTGGAGAGTGCGGCGACGGGTGCGCAGCGATGCGACAATGTAGAGTTGCGGCGCGCTGTCCTGGGATGCGATGGGATGCGCCTGCGATGCGACGGGCGCGAGACGGTGAATAAAACCATAACGGACGGGAATGCGCCTCGCATCTGATTCGGCGCGGCTGGGCAGGCAAAGGGGGTGTGTGGGTCGCCAAGCCGGGGTTTCCCAAGCGGTGGGGGACAGATGGGGGCCGTGCGTCTTCCGCTGTCGCTGCGCTTCTTCTACTCGGAACTTTGTTGAATTCTTGGTGCTTGTGTTTTGGGACGGATGCGATCCCCCGAAGCTATGCCCGCGGTGCGGCTTGTTGTTGCTGGGTGTTCATGTCAAATGTCAAATGTAAAATAAAAATAAAAATAAAAATAAAAATAAAAAGTTGAGGATTTGGGGTCGGAATGAGAGGCGAGCCCCCAGCCAGTACTTCCTTCGTTGACTGCTTGGAAGCCGAATGGTTATTGCTCCGGGCATTGTCAGGCCCCAAAGTCGCCCCGGTATTTCAATTGAAACCCGTGCTAGGCGCCGACACCAATCATGGCTTGACGGACTCGTCTTCGTCCCCATTAGGTTCCCTGTCTCGGTGGGGATTGTTTCCATAAGGTGTCAATGCAGAGCAATCGCTGAGTCCAGATCAACCTGCCCGTCACGATACGCACAGCATGCCGGCCACTTCACCGTCTCCAACCACACCCGCGGCCGGGCGGAGAGCTCCCCCCCCCCCCCCCTCCTTCCTGTTGCGCGGCGGATGATCACCGGCCGCCAATCGGACCGCATCCATTGGCGTGCACGCTCGAGTCACGCGAAGGCCTGGTCTAGATGGCCGACGCTCGGTTGAGGTCCTCCAACCCCCTCCCTTCGCGAAAGGCAGCCGTGACAGCCCAAAATGGCGAATTTCGCCACAGGAGACGGCCGGTGGCTGGTTCTCGCAAGTAACGGTTGATACGCTGTCCAACGAGACCTCCCGGCTGGGACTAAAAGAGGATGCGCCGTGTGGAGGCGCCACATCTATGAGCCCTCTCTCGGAACCCTTCGGCCAGCTCGACATCTCGCCGGACTGCTACCCCTTCCGTCGAAATGTGCATGTCTCCAAGGCGTACGCCCAACTCTCAAGGCTAAGGATCGGCGCCGTTTGTAAGGCGGAAATTGTCGTTGAGGGGCTCTGGGCTTCCGCTCCCGACCGCCGTCGGGCGGGAATAAGCCCCGGGTTTGATTTGCGGCGGCCAAGCCGGATTGTCGCCGGGTCGTTCTCGACTCGCAGGATAGCAAGGTGCGATCTCGGCTGCTGAGCCAAGACGGATTACAAATGAGGACGTGCAGCCGCCCTGGAACCTCTGTGGACATGCCATTCTGGCGGTCTTCTCTTACAACGTCTGTTATGATAAAGGCATACTATCTGGGATATTGCTCCTCTTTGCTGCTTGTTTGAACTTTGATACTAATGAACTCGACCGCGGCCGCCAGTTGAAGCCGAAGCACCTCTGTAAGTATTCCGCCGGCTGCGATCTCATACCGCATACGTTTCATCTGCAGCAAAGACCATGCCGGACGGAAAGGTCCCGGTGAAAAGCCCCAACCGCAGCGGCACCGATGTTGCGGAGAAGAGCCGGAACGGGACCCCGGAAGTGAGCGCCCCCGAGGAGGTCCGCGAATGGTCCGCGGAGCATGACCTCGTGTACCCGGAGGGAGGGTGGACGGCCTGGTCCCAGGTGCTAGCCAGCAACTTGCTCAACGCGCTAGCGTGGGGCTACCCGGCGACGTTCGGCGTTTACCAGCTCTACTACACCGAGAAGCTCCGCCTGCCTGCGGCCCAGGTTTCTTGGATCGGCTCGGTGCAGATCTTCCTGACGTTTGCCATCTGCACCGTCTCGGGCCGGCTGACGGACGCCGGGTACGCCCGGCACGCCGTCTTAACGGGGTGTGCTTTCGTCATCCTGGGCACGTTCATGACCAGCCTCTGCACGCAGTACTGGCAGATCATGCTGGCTCAGGGCATCTGCACGGGCATGGGTCTGGGTCTCCTCTTCATGCCGGGCGTTGCCATTGTCGGGTCCTACTTCAAGGAGAGGCGATCTCTGGCGTTGGCCATCGCGGCGACGGGCACCGGCGTCGGCAGCCTCATCTTCCCGTCCACCTTGCAGTACCTCGTCCCCCTGGTCGGGTTCCCCTGGGCCGTTCGCTGCTCTGCCTTTGTTGCGCTCGCCGTGGCAATAATCGCCAACGCGCTTCTGCGGCCCCGGCTGCCGCCCAGAAGGTCCGGTCCGCTGATCGAGTGGACAGCTTTCCGGGAGGGTCCGTACATCTTGTTCACCTTGGGGGCCTTCTTCTACTTCATGGCGCTCTATTTCGGCTTCTTCTACGTCAGTCACCAACATCTATAACCCGTAAGACCAGCTGTGGGCTGATGAACGTTACAGATTAATACGTATGCCCGCAAGGTTGTGGGCTTCTCGACGACCGAGTCGGTATCGCTGCTTCTCATCACCAATGGCATGGGCATACCGATCCGACCCGTTGTCGGCTGGCTAGCCGACCGCCACGTCGGTCCCATCAACATGTTCGTTCTGACCATGTTCATCCTCGGCTGCATGGAGTTTGTGTGGATTAGCGTGAAGACAAAGACCGGCATGTATGTCTTCAGCGTCTTCTTCGGCCTGGCCAACGGAGCAGCACAGGGGGTCTTTGGAGGGTCGACGGCAAGCCTGACGGCGGATCCGCAGAAGATGGGTACGCGGTTCGGGATGATTGCAACGATCTCGGGCTTCGCGACACTGGCCGGTCCTCCGACGGCCGGCGCCATCATCGACAGGGCCGGAGGACAATATCTCGGGGCTCAGATATGGGGTGGTGCCATGATGATAGCAGGATCACTGACGATTGCAGCGGCGAGGATCGCCAAGGCAGGAAAGTCTTGGAGGACCAAATTATGATGGAAAGGGGAAGGCAAAAACAGCAACGACGACGACGAAAACGATGACGATGACGACGACACATCAAGGTGAAGGGGCGACAGGCGTCGTAGCCGATGATGGTGAAAGGGAGATGATCTCTTTGTAGGGCGGACATTGACCAACTGGACAGGCTACCGATCGTTCGCGGTGTCCGGTGCACGAATGATGAGGTGGATTTGTTATACCGATATGGCGCCGAACTTTACGGCTTCCTTAACATATCAAGGGCTTCCGAGAGTAGCCTTGCAACTTGCTTGCCATCCTCCCAGACAAAGTCGTGATCGTGAGTGAGGTTCTTGCGGATTGTGTATTCAACGCCGTCTCTCCCAAGCTTCGACGCCATGGTGTCAATCTCCGGCTCGTCAACAAGCGTGTCTTGGGGAGACCATGCCAGCAGGATGAGGTTATTTGCAGGCAAGGCGTCCTTGAAGCTACCCGAGAAGCTGGCCGGCATGACCTTGTTCCAGGACTCCTGGTCTTGGCCAAAGGCACCGACGATGAACTGGGTGTAGCCCTCACCGTGACGGGCGCTGAAGTCATACAACTCGTAGATGCCGGCCAGGCCGATGAACGCAGCGGGCATCTTGACCTCCGGGGGCGGTGCGGCACCGAGCGCAACAGAACCCATCGGCAGCTGGAAGGCCAAGGTGGCGCCGGCCGAGTGCCCGATTAGGATGTAGCGGTCCTGGATATCGTACTCGCGCTGCAGGAAGGCGAGGGCCGACCAGACATCGCGTAGGTGGTCCGGGTGTTGGGCGCAACGAAGCTCCTCCGGGGGGGTAACGGCAGAGTCCTGCGGGAAGGAGGGGTGCGGAGAGAGTCGATAGTCAATGCTGATGAAGCCGCGGACCTCGGATTTGGGGGCAGAGCTGCCGGTCTTGACGAATTCGTCAATGGAGCGCTCGAAACCGTAGAGGGTCTTCCGAGGATCACGCCAGGCGCCGCCGTGTATGTAGCTAATCGGAAGTAAGCGGCTACCCAACAGCGGCGATATGTACAAATCCATCGCAGGAGCGTGGCCGTCAACTCACATTACCCAGTACCCAGCTGCGTTGTCGGCGTTTCGGGGGAGCTCCCAGACACCTAGTTTCTGCAGCTCGCTGTCCGCGGCATAACGATGCTCGGTAAACTTCAAAGAGCCCGACATAGTGACGAAAGCTTAGCTTGAACTGGTTGGTTAGTTGGTGGCGGCGTGTCGCTCTTTGCGCGTGTCGGTCAGCAGGGTACGACGGGGCAGGGCGAAATGGGGGTTGCGTGGAGCTTGAAACCTCGAATGAGTGCTTGGCAAGACATGGGAGGGGTGATATGTGCCAAGGTAATGAGATGCTGTCGACCTTGGTCCGCAGTGGGGTGGAGGGGGGCGGACAAAGAGGTTGTAAGAACAAAAATGAAAGGGCCTGCGTTGGAGACTGTTTGTCGCGCAACGGATGCGGTTCCGGAGCTGCTGATAAGTAGCGATGAGGGCATAGAGGGGTGGGTGGGGCCTTCCGGATTCCGGATTCCCGTCCTTTCATCCGCCTCCGCGAACGACCCTGGACTTCACCTCCCGACCTGGCCCGGCTGCCGGCTCGCGCTTTAGCATCCTTCGTCTTCCTCAATGTGGCCTCCTGTCCATCCAGCGCAATGCCGGTATCATCTTGTCAGAAGGGGCCCCTCCGATGCTCTGGGAGAACCCCCACCAGGGAAAAGTGCTTGTCAACATCTCCTCTATTCTACCCATGGTCTTTTCCCCTTGATAATAAATCTCGGCCCCGGCCGAGCCCGACTCAGAAGCCCGTGGCGCAAGTTATAGAAAATTCTCGAGTCCGATAGTGTTCCGCCATTATTTGTCCAGGCGCGTGCGATGCGACGGGTTGCGACCTGAACTTGTCATCCCACTGAGGCCGTCAACAGCTGGCCAGCGAGCCGTCTTCAGTCAATGTCGCGTTGCTCCCTCCCATTCATAACGAACCGCAACCGTCGCAGTATGCCCCCTCCCCTGTGCACACTTGTCGCTAATACGGCGACCCCGCATCCGCCCTGCCTGTGGTATATCTTTCAGACAGAAAATTCTCCCTGTTTCGAGCTGTCATGATGTCAGAGAAGGAAAAACGGAAGTCTACCTCTCTTGTTTTTAATTCATCGATTACTTTCTTTTGTTGCTTTCTTATTCCGTATCTTCTCTCCACTTTTCTCAATAAACTTACCTCTTTTTGATTTTTTCTCGAATCTGTTTTTCCCCTGGTGATTACTTGCGGCTACGACACGAGCTTGTTGCCACTCAGAGCAGAAGCCCAAGCCCTAAGCAAGGTGTTGGACAAGGATGGCACACCGGTCGAAACAGAAAGGGTCAAGACGAACCGGTGTTTGGACTTGCGAGGTCGTGACAACGCCACAACTAGCCACGCGCAACCGTTGTTTCCCCGTGCAGAAACGAGGTGATCAGGCCACGCCGTCCTCCTGCCTCAACAAAACCTGAGAGCTGTTGTGCCTAGGTCGGTAGTGTGGACGACCTAGATGAGACCTGCAGCCTTGTAGAGGAAGGAGGCATTGCCCTGTTCTTTTCCGAACTTCTTTGTGATACGTGAGGTGAAGAATACGGAGCGGTGAAGGCACGCATACGGTCGTAAGATCGATCCGACGCATGGCCTCCTTCCGTCCTTGGCTTTCGCAGGGTTTGTCAACATCCAGATTGGTCTAGATATGCGGCAGAAGTATCGTGGTACCTAAGACGCGCGGCAAATGAGCAGCGAGAACAAGGTCTGCTCTACTTATACAGCTCTTCCATGTCGGCATACTGACTGTCTATCTGGGTGTGAGTACCGGTACATAGGTAGGTAGGTATGCAAGGCACGCCTTTCGCGTGTGACCTGGCCTCAGCCGTCGGCGCAGGTTTTGTTGCCTGTTACACAGCGAAGTCCAGAAGAAGTAGAGGAAGAGGAAGAGCAGACACACGATGCAACATGCCGGATGTCGGGTCCTCGCTCTTACTTCATCGCCAAGTCTTATGTCTGTGCCTTTCCGAGTCAACAGCGACGCCTCATTCATCATCCCACTTCGGCCGTTGCCAACCTGGTATGGGTGAAACTGGGGAGGGAAAGCATCGCCCCGTTACACCCAGAACGCATGAATGCATCCATCCATCCATCGTAATAGTAGACGCTGAAGAACCCCCTGCTTCGCCATGTTTCCGCCAAACAACCCAATAGTTAGGCGCCTTCAACCTTGTCTACTCCTTGAGGAGAGGGGAACACCCGAAACGCCTGCTTGGTATGACGAGTGAACTTCCTTTCGGATTTCCAGAGCCGAAGAACTACGGCATCAGCCCCATTGGCGTACTAATGGCCAAGAACAGTATCTGATCATGAGCAATCAGTGTGTCCGTCTCTAGTTGACCCGATGACCCATTGTTCATCCGTCCAAGTAGAGGTTGGCGTCGTGCCGGGATATGTAATATACCAACCAACAGCTGAAGGGGGAGATACGAGTTACGACAAAGTAGTGGCTTATTTCTTTTTTTCAACCCCCAGTAGACGAATTCTTCCCCGGCACTTCCCGTCTCCCGGGACCCATCCGTATGCGCCTCACCTGCAAGCTGCAGACTGCAACCCTTATCACGTTTGTGTGTAAGGTGAAGATGCAAGTGGCACCGTTGGAGCCTTTCGCAAAGGAGATATGCAACCGCAAACTTTGCAGGATTTCATGGCATGGTGCCCAGGCCGAACCCACTGTGCAGCATACAGCTCCTTTGGCTTTTGTAATATCTCTTCTACCTTGCGTGGCCTCCTCCTATCTCCCACACCCGTACGCCACTCGGTCGCACATTTTCTTCAAATTTGAAACGTGGTTTCTGCAGTAATACAGCACGGGGCACTTTCCCATTCCCAACCCCCCCCGTCATTGTTCTTGCGGCCGTTCTGTATTAGCACGTATGGGCACTCGTCTCTCTCCACATGGCGACCCTGCCTTACCGGGACCCGTCTCCGGGGGTGGCCTCAAACTCGACGTTCCTGTCGGGCTCGCTTTCGGAAAGTCGCCGGAAGTCATTCGCATGGGCTCTGATTTAAGCAGTATCCAGAGGCCCGCCTAATCAGTACTGGCCCCTGGCATCGTCCTCCGTTGCTGGCCACACCAAACCCCATGGCCTCACCTATGTAACCGTCCTGACTTGCTGCCGCTTTCCCTTCTCTTCCTCCCTCTCTAGGTGATGCTCTTTCTTCGTTGTCACTCCCAGGATCACCACGGTACCGACCAGCCCTATGGCTGAGGTGAAGTTATCAGAGAGCAATGGCGGCGCTCTTGTAGCCACTGCCGTCGCGTTCCTTGCCCTCTCTTGGTTTTCTGTGCTTCTCAGGTGTTATGTGAGAGCTTTCATGACAAACGGCTTCCAGGTTGATGACTGGTTCATGGTTGTGGCTCAGGTACGTCCTTTCCCTCAGCGAGACAGCCACGGCCAAGTACTATGTTGATGACCCATCCTCAGGTTATCTTCACTCTTTCGTGCTCCCTCATCCTCGTCGGTGTAGAAAATGGCTTGGGCCGCCATAACAGAGCACTCAGCCAAAGACAAGAGATCTCAGCTTTAATGGTACGTTGCTTCGCATCGGGCTATCCCAACGCCATTCCCCTAACACCATCGCACAGTACCAAGCTCTGGCTACTGCCACATACGTCCTTGGTATGCTCTTCATCAAGCTGAGCATCGGCTTTTTCCTGCTCCGGCTTTCGACGTCGAGGGTATACAACTGGATCATCCATGTTAGTCTGGCGATTGTGACTATATGGAGCGTGGTCATCTTCTTCTGGAACACGTTCCAGTGCTCCCCGGTCGAGGCACAGTGGGATTATACTATTTCCAATTCCGATTGTGTGCCAGCGGATGCTGTCGTAGCAGCGGCCTACTCCATCAGTGTCATGACGATCCTAAGCGATTGGCTATATGTAAGCCGTTTCGGTCCTTCTATCACTAGCCTCCCTCCCCCGTCAAGACAACGCTGACTTACTTTGAGGCCCTTCTCCCTATTCCTATGGTTTGGAGCATCGAGATGACCAAACAAGCCAAAGCAACCGTCATTGTGATTCTTAGTCTTGGGATATTGTAGGTCCCAGGAACCTCGTTCTGGTTCTGGTCCTGCGAAACATTGCTTACAAGCCTCAGTGCCAGTATTGCAACCCTCGTCAGACTGAGGTACCTTGCCGACCTCGGCGACGTAGCAGATATCTTATGTAAGGATGCAGCCCGCCCCCCCCCAAACACTCCTAAAGAAATGTGTAATTCAACACCGTATACAACATAACAGTGCTAAACTCTACTTTAGTTACCGGAACGGACCCCATGGTATGGACTTTAGTCGAGCCTGGTGTTGCCATCGTCGCATCAAGCTTAGTCACCGTCCGGCCTCTTCTTCGAGCATGGCGACTCAGCGGATTCGCCTCGACCAACCAAACGCCCGGTATGAGCGGTGCGATCAGCGGGGGGGTGAGGTCGGGAACGGCGCGATCGGCGGCCCGGCCAACCCCGCGCAACGACCCGTACGGCGCCGGCGACGTGGGCCCAACAGAACTGGAGCTCGGTGGTATGGGGAAGCACGAACCGAAGCCATGGCCAAACTCCCGAATCGGATACACGGCTTCATTTGCACAATTCGGTTCCAAGGCAGCTGGGGGGCAAATCCAGGCAAACTCCGCGACGTCGCCAGACCGGGAACGGCGCAGGAGTTCCGATGGCACAACGTATGTCGTTGAAGGGGGCAAAGCGAGCGACACCTGGCAAGATGACAGAACTGGGTCGCAGAGCGTGTCCTCGGCTGATCTCGATGGTCTCGATGCCCGAAGCCAACATAGCGGACGTGTGGGCCTTGGAGGTCGCATGGGCTAGATGACCTTGGTTCACGGCGCACGACGATGGTTATTCCCAGCCTCACACTCATCAGGTTTATGTCACAACTTTCTAGATTTCACAGGTTTCAAAAAGCATAGAGAATAATAGTGTGCGTATTGATGCAAGGGCAAAGGAGCGGTATGGGTTGCTATGGCGCCCTAGGGTTGTCTGTACAAACAGTCGGCATAGAGGGCGGATGGGAATGGTGATTTTAACGACAGACGACGGCGCATAAGATATGAAGAGTATAGCATCGAAGTGCCTGAATGCGGAATGGACATTGGACCACGTCGCTGCGTGCGGGCACGCAGGCCAGCTAGGACAGGGACGTGGATATAGACGCCGTGGGCGAAGGCGGCTCAAGCAAAACATTCTTGAACAGCCTAGTATGGATCCTGATTATAAGACTCCTCCGCCTCTGCGTACGCATCGTACGAATACAGGAACCTCTGGATCTCAGGACACGTCCACCGCGAAGGAAACCCGGGCTGTGGTTCCGCCCCTGGTCCCAGTGATGCCGCCATGACCTCGTCGCGGCGCTCCTGCTCTGGGCCATCAGGCATGTGGAAGTCGTCGCGCTGCCGGAACGACTCCATAACGATGCGCTGCCCGCGAGCCATGCGGAGGCGCTGGTACATGGCCGCTGCGGCGGGGAGCTGCGCGGCTTTTGTCCCGTGCCCGCCAACCTTTCCCAGGAGATAGCCCAGCACGGCACCGTCCTCCAGGGAGGAGTTTGCGCCCTGTGCGAGATAGGGGAGCATCGGGTGACAGCAGTCCCCAGCCATGAAGAAGGACCCGTCGTCGCTGGCCCACTGGGAGAGAGGCTCGATCCAGCAGAGTTTCCACTTGTGAACGCTCTCGACCTGGTCCAGGAGCTTTCGGAGGAGGGGGTCCCAGCCGGAGAAGAGGGAACGCATCTCCTCGACATCCCCGAGGACTTTTGTCGAGCCCTCGGGGAGGTTGTCCGGGGACAGGAGGCCCAGGTTGAGCATGCGGCCCTGTTTCACGGTGTAAGACACGCCGTGGGACTGCGGACCGATCCAGAAGTGAACTGTCTCCGACTTGATAAAGGCTTCAAGCTCAGCCTTGTGGGGGCCTCTGAGGGAGTCGATCGGGATCGCGATGCGGAAGGCCAAGTCGCCCGTCAGTACCGGAGGTGAGGGTCGACCGAGGAACTGGGCGCGGGTGGCGGACCACATGCCGTCGGCGCAGACGACGACGTCGCCGCCGATATCCACGGAGTGGGTTCCGGAGGCGCCATCGCTGTCTTCCTGGGCGATGGTCACGACGGCGCGGGCAAAGTCTACGGAGCGGACGCGCGCAGAGAGGTGAATCTCAACGCCGAGGGCGGTGCATCGATCGACCAGGGCGCGCTGAAGCTCGACGCGGTGGAGCCCCCAAAAAGGATGGCCGTAGCGGGATTGGATGGTTTCTTGGAGGCGTGATTCGTGGGCGAGAAGGCGGGTGCCGTCGTAACGGTGGACGGAGAGGGTCGAAGGACGGGTCGCGAGGGGGGAAAGGGTCGGGCCCAGGCCCCAGGCTTGAAGAAGGCGGGTTGCGTTGGGTGTGAGCTGGAGGCCTGCCTATGGTTGTCTCTGTGAGTAGGTAAAGCTCTGATGGGTGATAAAGTCGTCAAGTTTGTGAGAAAGAGAGGGGGCAGGGCGACTTACACCGACTTCTTGAAGTTCTTTGACGGCTTCGAGGATCGTGACGCGATGGGAGGGGTTTGCGAGCTTGGTAGAGAGGGCGGTGGCCAGGCCCGCAAGGCCCGCGCCGATGATTATGACATGGAGAGGATGCGAGGCATTGCACCCCGCTGCTTCACCCATGTTGAATGGCCCCCGTCACTCACTCGTGAAGTCGGTGACAGCGCTGTATGGTGGTGGGTTTGAGGCCAATGGAGTTTGTTTATGCAAAATGTGATGGTGCACGATATGACAACCACCGCTCTGCAGCAGTTTCCTCTTACCGTCACCCACTCAACAATTTCCAAAGAGGCTGGGTCTAGTAGACGACTGTGACATGTTCTGCAGACGCACCACAGACAATGACACCATTACCGAGGCTTGGAGGTCGGGTTCACGGAGGGTCTCATGTACGGAGTGTGGGGAAGACCGACGGGACGACGCCGTCCCCCAAGTTCGTCCCAATTATTAGTTGCAGTCCGAACCAATCTAGGGTATCGTTCATCTTTTGTTGATCTGCTTGCGCCCCGCCCCTCCTGGCCCCCGAGACTTAGCGTCGAAGCCACTGACTCCCCTCGCGCTTGTTTTGTCCGTTACACGTGCCACGCTCCTCCACTGGCGCTGACCACACCGTCCCTTCTTACTCGCTGGGGATAGCAAGATCATCCGGGTCAACTTCCCATTCTTCCTCATCGCCCCAGGTAGGTGCGAGGACAAATCTGCCCATGATCTTGCCCATACCGATGCTGTCTCCGCCAACCACACCCGGCTTCGTCTTCTCGTCCGACTCCTCCACGATTACTGCCGTGGTCAAGAAGTTCATGCCTGCCGCCGGGCTGAGCTCTAGGGTTCGCCCGCCCCAGTCCAACTCGACCTTGCCGGACTTGCGGACCTTGAGCTTGCCCATCATGCCGGCCTGGGAAACCAGCTGATTGATGTCGGTCAGGTCAATGTCCTTGTCCTCCTCGGCCTTGGCCCTTATGTTCTCTTCCGAGTTGGTGAGGTCGACCGCTTCGCCAGGCGGGTCCATCATGACGACATCATCCGGCTCCGGCTTGACCTTGGGCGCAGTCGTAGGATGCAAGGGTGGGAGCAGTGGCGGGAACTGGAAGAGGTATAATCGGCCGTCCTTATCCTGTATAGCCTCGCTCTCAGGGGCCTTGGAATTCTCGTCGGAAACAGTGCCCAATTCGCCCAGCAGAAGCTGCATATCGTGTGTGATCATTTCCACCTCGGGGTCGGCCGCTGTCTTTTTGGTCTTCGGTTCAGGAGTGACCTTCTCCTCGGCGTCGGGCGTCGAAGATTTCACCCGGGCGTTGAAATCAACCGGCGCGATGTCCATGGCGCCCGGTTCAGCCCCGGGTTCCGCCTTGACATGAACCATGCCCTTGGGTGCTGCATGCCAGACCTTGGTCTCTTCCTCCACCCGGGGAACGGCACCGGGCCAAGCCTCGTTTGCGTCAACCCATAGACTTTCTTCCGCCTTTCCTTGTTCTTCCGCCTCGAGTTCTGCCGAAGTCGCAATGACCTTTTTCTCCTCCTTCTTGTCGATTCGCGCAATGCCCATGGGCCAGATATTATCGGGCTTCGAGCTAATGAGGGCTGCCGTCGCTTCGTCGTCGGAATCCGGTTCGCGGTCGACCGCGTATCCTGCGAGCCTGTCGGCGTTGATCCGGGCTTCGCGATGGCCGGATGCCTCTCCAAAACCGCCACCTTCTCTCTTGGTTCTGCCTCCTCCGCCGCCGCCGAAGAAACCGCCGCCGCCGCCGCCGCCGCCACCTCCCCAGCCCCCACCGGACCTTCCGCCTCCTGGGCAATGTTAGCTCTGTACCTTGTGTCATGACAAGACCCCCGGACCTACCCTCAATGTTCATCTGTGAAAAGGGACCGCTAGCAACAGCAGTTCGCGACATGAACCCGCCCCTACCCATGGCATCTCCACGAGCTCGTCGACTGCGACCTCGAGAGCGCGCCTGCGCTCGAGCCTCGGCCTTTGCCCTCGCATTGTCTTTTTCCAACTCTTGTCTAGCAATGGCGTCTCTTGAGGCCTCATCTCTGCGCACAACCTTGGGCCGAAACCTGCCGACTGAAGGGCCCCGCGTTGGTGCTGGCCTAGGAGTTGCGGAGTCTCTGGAAGCTCCTGCAGTTGCCGGAGCAGTGTCCAGTGCCGAGGAAGGCCTAGACGTTGGCGCAGGAGTCTCCGCGCTTGGTGTGACACTGACAGCGGCTCCTCTTCCCACGCCTCTGCCTCTTGTTCCTCGGCCACGAGCCCTACCGGCGCCTCGAGCCGGGGTCGTTCCCTCAGGCATGTTGACAGGCGACTATGGTACGGGTATGATGAGTCGGATGAATTTGTACTATTGTCGCTATTCCGTACAATTGGCGGCTTGCCGTCGTCGTAGGCTGTGGGGAAGGATTTGGAAATTTGTGATATGCCGTTGTCGACCGAGAGTTACAGGTGCGCCGCTACGAGAAAAAGATGCTCGATTACCTTAGCGTGGTGGGGGACCACACTTCGGTCGAGGTACCCTTGTAATTTTTTTCCAGTTCACCCTCCGAGTTACCGCAAACAAAGTGGGGTTGGGACACCCCGCGAAGGAGGGGCACTAAAGCCGTATGAGACGTAGGTAGGTAATTACCTGTCTGTGTACATTGGCTCACCGCCCTCGACGTTCACTGAAGATAGGTACCACTGAGTCTTCACTTGTATTAAGCATGCTCAGTCGGTCTCGGAAGGAAAATTCATTTGAACATGCGGTGTCGTGTTTTCCCTTGATGATTCTCAGCGTTCCGAGAGGCGTATTGGTATGCACTTGTAGCGTAATAGTGTGAAGATCTCGGGTATCTCATTTCACACACATCAGTGACTGCTCACCGTATAGTCTTGCGACGCTGCCCTCTCGATTTAGCATGTTGCCAATCCACAGCCTCCCAGCCTCAACTGTACTCGCTCCAAATTTCACAATGACACAGGTCCTGACCCTCGCTGCGGACCATAAGATGCCATCCTTGGCCTCCATCTCTATGCGCTTCATCCGCCACAACTCGTCCTCTGTCAGACTGCTCTCCTCCTTGGCTTTGGCCTCTGCCGATCTGAAATCCCTCGCACCAAGCCGCGGCAAGACCCCAAATTCTTCAAGAAAGAAGTTCCCCAGCGCGTGCATTTGCGGCCCTCGAAGAATCAACGTCCCAAAAAGCCCACTCCCGTGCATGGAGTCTCTCAAGGACCTGCCAACTAACCCTTGGCTATTTCTGTCCAAGATGACCGTGTCCCGCACAAGCAGGCGGTTCTTGCTCCCCGGAGTTTCCCCCGACAACCAGACTTCGTTGCGCCCTGTCCACTTGACAAAACTCCAGTCCTCGCCGCGTGCCGTTCTTCCCTGCGTCACCCAGTCCAATAGACACAGAGATGCGCTGGGGGAGGCTGTGAATATTTGCGTCTGTTCATAGACGCTCCCATCGAAGGGCTGTACTGGGTCCGGCAGCTGACAGATACCGGCGTTGTCTTCGATATAGACCTCGAGTGTCTGTCGCGTGACTATGTCGGGGGATGCGGACTTGAATATTTTTGTATGGCCCTGGGTGACAACGCTGAGCTTTGACTCTGGCAGAGCGCGTATGGATAGATTGATGCTATCCCCTCCAACCAGTCCGCCGCCGTACGACAATAAGAATACTAAAACGCTCCTCTGGTCGGCTGCCGGCGTGGGAGAGATGAGTTTCAGAGGGTACTGGTACGACATGGCTTTGAGACCAGACAGGCCGTTCGGCAGCACTCGGGCTATGATCTCGCCCTCGCCGGCCGCTGAAGAGGACTTTGGAAAAGGAGAATCCATCGCTGGCCCTACCGGTGCGTGTTGAAAGGTGGTCGGCGGGTTTCAGGGGTCCCTCTGGCAGGTCATTCCTGACTGTAAAAGGCGTCTTTTAACAATTGTGCTAGGTTAGAAACGTCCTGAGAAGCTAGTTTAGAGGAAGCAGAGCGGCGAATTGGGTCATATGCTTCGGGGTATCCACTCAGCCCAATCGTGATGTTGGTTGTTGCAGTTGTGCGAGACGGCACTGCTAATACGTAATTGGATTTCTGCTTGTCGGAAAGTCAAGTCCATGAATGAGCGGGAAAAGTCTTGATAAGGAGTACGTACCGGGATGCCGCTGGCAGGCTTACACAGTCCTCTCTACCTAGGTCCCCAGTGTATATATACAATGAAGACCACAGGCAAATACCGTATCCTCTCTGCAGATTCGCCTACCGCTAATTCTCGGGCTAACGGCAAGGAGTATCGCTGGCTGCCAATCAGCTAAGCCTATTTAGGAAAGCGGTCAAGGTCAAACCCTCCCACCCACCTACCTACAGGCCAGCCAGCCGTCTATAACTTTCTAACCCACTTGCCCACCAACCCACCCACTAACCTACCCACTAACCTACCCACTAACCCACCCACCACAATATTCATAATACCTAACCGTCTGCCGCTAGGCAAAGTTAACCTAAATACACCACTGTTACGCAAGAAAATAGGTAAAACCCCTACGCCTATTATAAAGCGACAATATACAGTAACTACGTTAGTCTAGTAGGTTAAAAGGTTATATAGTAACTAAAAGCAAGTTAAGGTACTAATGTACCTTAAGCACTACTGTTACCTATCTAATCCTTCCTATACCTATTAATAGGCTAGCAATACTCCTCTTGACCCTACTAATAGGCTTTATTACCTATTATTTAAAGAGGCTACTAACTACTTTAAGATACCTTGTACAACAATAGTATATTAGTATAAGCACTAAGATACTATTATTAGCCTAGTAGTACGCTATTAACTACAGTAGCTAGAAATAGAAGCTAACCTTTATAGGCACTTCTAGTAATAATAAGCCTATAACAAGGTTGTTACTACTAGATAGTTTAAGCAGGAGGCCTAAGCCCTTTTTACTGCTAACTATCCTAACACTATTATTACTAATAACCTTCCTATGTATACCTCCCCCTTCTAATTCTCTGCTAGCTAGTTTAGTGGCTTCCTTACATAATAGAGTATTTTACACTGCTGGCTTACAAAGTAAGCCTTAAAGCTATCTACTAAATACCTTATAGTTATTACTAGCTTCCTCTACTTTAACTAATATATTAGCTAGCTATTACTAGCCTAGTAGTAGCTGCCTATTAGTAGCCTCTGTTTCTTACCTAACTATATTATTAACTTTAACAAGACCCCTATACCTTTTAAATACCTTAATAGATCTATGTAGGCAGCTAGGGGGTCTTGTACAGTGGCTAGTAAAAGTGACTATAGTGGCTAAAGTAAGCAGTAAGCTACTCTTATCCTCTATATCTTTGCTAATAGGGTCTAACAGCTACTACTAAAGCTTATTTTTTATAGTAAGCCTACTAGCCTTAGTAGCTAACTAAAGGTATATAAGGGTAACTTATATAGTAAAGAGGTAACAGTTAAATATAATAATATAGCTTATAATAATAAATATCTTCTTAGGCAGTAGCTAATAGAAGAATTTTTTCCTCTTATAGTAGGGCAAGAATACCTCTTAGTTATAGACGTTACTACCTTTTATAAGACGCCTACTATACTATTACAACTTTAATCTAACTATGTGACGCCTAGCCTTATACCGCTAGGCATAACCTCCCTCCTCTAACCTCTAGATACTGCTATTAATAAGCCCTTTAAGCAGTAGTTATCTAAGGCAACTAATAAGTATATATAGTAAATAAAGCAAGCTACTGCTAGCTAGCCTAGCCTACCTATTTAACCTATACTTATTAAGTAGTCTATATTAATAAAACGCATTATAGTTACTTATACTATTATAATAGTAACCTGTTGCCTAGCTAAAAGAGGTAAAATAGTCTAGTAATCCTTTCTTTAGTATAGGATTAGTAGTAACCTAGATAAAAGCAATATTAATAAGATTTAGATTAAGGATATACTAAATAAGAAGATATTATAGGATAGTTAGGATAACTTTAATTACAACGCCTACATTAAGAAGAAAATAACCTAAGAAGAGATACCTAATGTTAATATAAATAACAACAGTAAAGAGTATATATCTCTAGCTAAAGACGTCTAGTAACCTATTAGAAATAGTTTAACAAGGCTATAGGAAATCTAGAGCTATAAGTAAGTAAGAGGGAGGGAGGGAGGAAATCTAATGCCACTTATAAGGTTTTTTGCTGGCCCTTGCTACTTAACTTGCTACTAATGTACATAACTAACCCCTGCTTTTGCTACCACTAGATCCCTGTTTCTGCTAGCACGCCAACCCCTATTTGGTGGCCGCGATACTCCTTGCCGTTAGCCCGAGAATTAGCGGTAGGCGAATCTGCAGAGAGGATACGGTACTAGACCGTGAAAGACCCCAGGCTACAAACATAGCTAATAGTGAGCTATCCCTTTAAAAATACAATGAGCCGGTTGCGATCGGGGATACCAATGTATTGAGACGACACATGTCTGGCAGCCTGCATAGAACATTAGCAGCTCATGAGCTTGGCAGTCTTCGAACTTCAAGTATGCGTGGGCCTGGACTCCCGCATAATGGGCAACGCTTCCCCTACAGAACCCCACCAAACCAGCTGAACCTCTCTGTCTACCCACCTAACTACCTAGGTAAGTAGGTAAGTACCTATAAGTCGCTCAGCTGATAGACTCCAAGACTTAGCTGTAGGGCCGCTGATCTTCAGTAATTATCGGAGATTCAATAATGTGCACCCAATGATCACCTATCTTAGGTACCTAGGTAGGTAGGTAGGTAGATGGCAGACGGTTGAGACGGTACGTACCCGCGTTTTATCTGCCATTTCCTCCTGCACCATTGATACAGTGTTTTCTCGCCGAAGAGTGTCGTGTCTCGCACGGTACGTCACACAGGTACCCCCATTTCCATCCACCCAAATCCGGTCATCCTCCCACTCGCGAAATTGGAGAGCTCATCACCTAAACATCCTCGACACAGACGCACCGACTGAACGCGACAATTTCCTTCGTATGCGCCACCCCTCCGAACTCTCGCTCATCGGCGCAAACTAATTGTCGCGATTGCTGCCTTCGTGTTCGTGTTTCAGCGATTTTGCCCCATTACCTTTGCGCAACAACATGGAGAGCGCGACAGCATCCCCCGAACCCGAGTCGTCGCGTCGTCGATCCGGACGCGTCGTGCGAGCCCCCGAAAAGTTCAGCCCCGAACCAGTCACCGCCCCCAAGCGCAAAAGAGGCCTGGAACAGGATGATGATGATGAAGGAAACGACGATGACGAGCCCGAGACGGATGCTACGATGAGCGACGCCGCCGATAGCGCCGACGAACGCCCTCGCTCCAGACCCAAGAAGCGATCAGGCGCATCGCAAGGGACCCGCGTAAAGAAGCCCGCAACTAAGAAACCCAAGACCAACGGAGTAGCCCCATCTGGTCACTCCGCAAGCCTGCCATCCCGTCCGAAGAAGTCGGTGAGGATTGCTGATAAGCAAGGGGAGGGCCTCTACGGTAAGTCAAACACCCTGGAATGCTGTTCACAGTCCCGTCAACTGACACGTCTCTACAGCCGACGTTTTTGGTTCGGGATTGCCCTCAGATGAAGTTGCCGACAAATGGCAGACTAGATACCAGGCTAACGATGCCCTTGCTGTTGTCGAGCTCGTTAATCTGGTATTGCAATGTTCCGGCTGCGATCTTGAGATTACCGAAGACGATGTCCGCGATCCTGATAACTGTCAGGCTCGCCTTACCGAGCTTCAGGATCTGTTCCAAGAGGTATAGACGCTCAACCCTCTATGCGGATCTTCTACTCTGCGGAACGGTGCGCTAACCTATAGCAGGAGCAAGTAACGGAGTACCCTCTCATTTCCAGGGCGAAAAACACTAAAGCTTTCCGCGACCTCCTGACCGGATTTTTCAGGGCTGTTGTGCGTAGTGTTCACGAGACCGACATCCTCTACAGCGACGCGACTTTGATGGAAAACCTCGTCCGCTGGATAGCATCCATGTCGACTTCATCACTTCGTCCTTTCCGGCACACTGCGACCACTGTCATCCTCTCCCTTGTGCACGGCTTGATCGACGTCGCAAATACTCTTGATTCCCGCATTACTGCCATCGAACAACAAATCAACCAAGCCAAGAGAGGCAAGAACAAGGCCAAATTGGCGGAAATGCAACGCACGCTCGACGAAGCCAACAACAACAGAGAGCTATGCGGCCACCATATCAAGGACTTCTTCGACACCACGTTTATCCACCGATACCGAGATATCGACCCGCGTATTCGGACGGAGTGTGTCGAGGCCTTGGGGTCTTGGATCACTGGCCAACCAACAGTCTTCATGCAACCCGAGTATTTGCGCTACTTGGGCTGGATGCTCTCGGACGTGGTTGCTTCAACTCGACAAGAAGTCCTCAGACAACTCGCACGCATCTTTCGAAAGGACATTCAGCCGTTAGGCCACTTCATTGACCGGTTTCGGCCTCGCCTCATTGAAATTGCTACCAAGGATGCTGAGGTGTCTGTCCGTGTCGCGGCCGTCTCTGTCATCAACGTCCTCCGGGACGCCGGAATGCTGGAGCCAGACGAGGTTGACTCGGTTGGCAAGCTCATTTTCGACAGCGATTCCAGGATCAGGAAATCGGTTGTCAACTTCTTCGTCTCCTGTGTTGAAGATTCCATCGAAAGCAAAATGGAAGAGCTTGGTGGCCAGGATGCCCTGGATGAGCTCTTTGGCGAAATCGAGGACGACGACTACAACTCGCCCCGCAGCACGTGGGTCAACATCAAGTGCTTAGCGGAGAACCTCGCGGCGTTTGATGCGCAGGTTGAAGGCGAGCAGCAAGACGGCAGCTCTCAAGGCCTTGCCGTTGCGGCTGATGTCACACAGGCGAATGTGGCCGATACTCGCATATCGCTTGCTTCCCAAGTCCTTTTCGAAAAGGTGCCCTACGTAAAACAGTGGGAGGTACTGGCGGGGTATCTGCTCTACGACCACACTGTCAGCTCCAAGTCCAGGTCCAAGTCACATGGTGCCTCCACTGAGATTGCTTTTAAGAAAGCCGTTGGGCCGGGGGGCTCAGAGGAGGCTATCTTGCTGGAAGTCCTGGCCTCAGCAGTGAAGATGTCGATGCTACAATCCGCCGAAATTGAGAAGAACA